CTGCTGTGTACCGAGCTCTAAGTTGGTGGTTCCTCTCTCCAATCGATGGACAGAGGTGCTTCTTTAGCGTTCTCAGCTGGCTATAGGCGTCTGCGCAATCGAGGATTAGGTCTAGGTGTTTGACGTCAATTGTCTGCACGATCTCTAGGCTCAGGTTTCGGAGAGCCTTCTCCTTCGTGAGCCACCTGGCCTCGTCGCGATCGAATCGTCTAGCCCATGAGTTGTACGTAGCGAGCTCTGTCGCTGTCAAGTCTGGGATATCGATCTGCTCGTCTGTAAGAGGATTTCGAAATCTCCTTACTTCGAGCTCTTTAGGTCTCTCGTCTTCTAGCATCTTCAGCCTCTCTGGCGAAAGATCTGGGTTAACGTACTCCCACAGACCATTCCGGTCTGCGGATATCTTCCTCGTGAACAGCCATTTCGACCAATCGTCTGGCTTTCGGAGGGTAACTGACGCTCTCGTCACCTGCATTTCGTGCTCTTGAGTTGCCATAACTACCTAGCTAAATATGCTCCTAGTGTTGAGTGTCGTCGAACGGGTGAACGCAGCGATTTAATTAAAGGCTTCCGGGCTCATAACTGTAACGGTGTGAGGAGAGGAGGAGGACTGCGTTGCATTGTGTAGCTATGGAGGAACTGCAGCTATATAGGTGTGTGTGATGAGAAAGTGTGGTAGCGATGGCCGTACCCAACTCTCACCCAAGTCGGTCTTGGCAAGTCCCAAACCGTTACAATTAGGCCTGAAAGATTGACCTATCGCGGGACGCCGCTTTTCCTGGCCTGGGTACCGCTCTGCGAACCACACAATACAGTTGATCAGTTCCTGTGGTAATTTGTCCATAGCGCAAATGGGGAAGGGGAGGAAGCGCACTATTGTTGCGGTAACACTGTTAAGCAGGTACGTGTGACTGCCGAGGCGCTAGTTAGTAGGTTGCCTGGCGCGTATCTTTGGGTAGAACCAGCCAATTTACACCGGCCTTGTGACCTCTGGCTGCCGTAAAGCGTATCGTATGCACGAAACAGTTCAACATGCCTCGACAACAGTGTTTCTACAAACGAATGTAACATATCGCACCATCAGACATAGAAGGCTCACGGTAGCGCTCCTGTAAGTATTGTGGTTGTGGAAGTCGAGGGATAAGTGGTTTCAACCTGAAAAATAAAATAAAAAATGGTTTTGCTGCCAAACTCGTCGACTTGATTTGGGAGAAAGTTGAACAAGATAATGCTCCGTCTCGTGCCATGTATCGCATTTTGTAGGATATTTCAGAGGTGAGATAACGTTCTATCTATGGTCTATCAAGGTGCCTATATAGGCAGCGAACAAGGAGATGGCAAGCTGATTGTACATGAGACGGAAGCTGATGGAGACCAACACATTTCCGGAGGAAAGGCGACCAACGAGTCATGGTGTGGTATGTCCAACAGTTTGGAATAAGTGGAGTAGCTCCTGCCAAGAAGTCATGGTGAACTTCATCGTATGGTATATAGCGGCGAACATCATCGCACTCGGTATGACTTTATATAGTAATGGCCACAGTCCGCAACAATCAATTAAGTGGGTCCTAGAAGGTTCAGATTGGATTGATTGATTACCGCTTTAAGCCTAGTAGTTACCTATAGGAGTTTAAGCCCTACCTAGATAGGTAAGTGGGTCTAGGAGAGTGACCGGATTGAATTGATTGTTGCGGAGTCTAGTAATGGCTGTCGAAATCGCAAGGCCAAGATGGGACCCGGAGAACAGGGGACCAGTCCATCATCCAGTACACTCTTGTAGCTCCACACCGAGTTGGTTCGGGTATCATGTGGAAGAGGATGTGGTATATATGCAGTTATAGCATTTTCAGGAAAACAGGCTTCATGATAGCCAGTTCCGTGATTCTGAGCGAGACCTCCTGGTGGTGGTAACCGTTATTTCGGTATCTCAGCACTCAGATGCATGTCGCCATTGGAAACACACGCATCGTCGTGTGAGTCCGGGGTTCGTTGGATGCCTGCTTGCATTGGTTGGGAGACAGTTGCTTTTCCCACCAGTCATCTCCATGAAAATCGACATGGTGAACTGCGCTGCTCGATAAGACATACGTGGTAAATTCATGGGGTCCAGTCCGGAGGTCATCGAAAGTGATTGCGAAAATGCGTTTCTCCGTCCCAGGCACATGAACGGTTAGGGTACCATGAAAGGTGCTGGAGCAGGCCTAAGTAGGGTGTTATTGAAGATAGTAGTTGTCTTTGGGGTAGTATACTTACTAAACCACGCGTTCATCCCTCTATGTTTTATATACAAAATGTCGGATCGCAGATATCAACGATATCTCAGCCACGCGATCGGCCGCACTGATCTCGGTCACGCGAGCAGGCGCACTGGCATCAGTCACGCGGACAGGCGCACTGATCGCGGCGTCCGAGCAGTGCTCAGACCAGACCCCCTATATCTAGCTCTTCCATAGTTCTCCTTCGCAAGACAATCAATCAGAACCATCACCGAACAGAATGCATTCCTAGTTATCGTTATTTCCTTTCAGCACTAGTGCTACAGCCCTACCAACACAAACTTACCGAAATGGCCAACGAAGGAGGGAAGACAAAATATTGCTTTCTTCATTGGCCTTACACCATGAGTGCTCGTGAAAGTCCTCTTAGCAGAGATTATATGCGAGAAAGAGAAAGAGAGTATATGGTAGCTACCCGAGCACACTCAGGAGCATGGTGCGTTATAGTAAGCTGTTCGGAAAGCGGTGAGAGATCGCATTCCAGGGGCGCCAAAACTGTGATCCGCCGATATGTATAGTTTCAGCCGACATCGATTGGTTTGTTTGAGGGCTCTCTCTGGACTGTAGTCTCTGCTACAAACCGCAATATGAGAGAACCCTATCGCAACTGCTGCATTGTTGTTAGATTGACATCATTTAGAGATAATATTGTACAAGTCAGGTAGAGAAACTTACTAAAAGCATTTTGTTGCGACCTCATGATCTGGCGCTGAAACGAGGAGATCTTCTCCACATGCTCCGACATATTGCTCCCTTTAAATGCGACAGTCATTTACCATTGTCGTGTCGAGGGAACTTCGCAAATCGAGTGTATCTGCAAGAGAGTTAGTTTGTCATTGATAATACGAGGGTGCCGTTGGTGACACATATAGACTCCGCAACAATCAATTCAATCCGGTCACTCTCCTAGACCCACTTACCTATCTAGGTAGGGCTTAAACTCCTATAGGTAACTACTAGGCTTAAAGCGGTAATCAATCAATCCAATCTGAACCTTCTAGGACCCACTTAATTGATTGTTGCGGACTGTGGACACATACATATATAGTGAATTGTAACATGGATTCTTCTCCTAAATGCCTGTTGTCGCCACCGTCAGAAAACTTAGAAATCGGACATGTGAGGGGATCACAAGATGCGCAGGTGTTTCCAACGACCGCATCCTATGAAGTTACCGGTAGCTCAAGTCGCACCAAAATAAGTCGATCTTTTGATGCGAAGGCGCAAGAGCAGGTTCGTCATGCAGTAGTTTAAGAACCCACGACTCGAGGAGATATCGTGATCGAAGCTGTGTGGCGAGATCTTGGAGTCAGAAGCACATATCCATCCCATCATGCTACTCCGGAAGACTCCTCATCGAGTCCTCAGTAGCAGTAATCCACAAGGCCACATGTTGTTGTCATCTTTGCCAGATTATATAGGCACAAAAGCCACGCTGTTCTCTCACTGTGGACGAGTGGAAACTCGTGGCCGTGACGGGGAATCCCTATCTGTGGAAGGAACCGTTAGCTCGTTAGACATTGTAGGCAGGAGATGTAATAGGGACTTGCCGGGTTTGTGCCAAGGATGATTCTATATTGTATGTATAGACTATATAGGGATGACGCTCGTGTGCAGGTCGACTTCCGTTGGTGAGCCTCCTCTAGTGTGTGAAGATATGACCTTGACAAGGTGTGCAAGAGGTTATATGAGATACCGCTTTTGTTGTGGCATAAGGTTAGGTACCTAATTATATCCGGCATACTGGAAGAACTTAATAGACATCAACATAGCAGTGCGACCGAAAGTCGGGGATGCGGTCAACTGTCAGCGCGGTTTGCCGCCATCCGTCCGCCCGTTTCCCCAACACACAAATTATTGCAGCCGTTCAAAAACGACAATGGCCAGAAAACAAAGATATGTAACGTGTAGAAGGGTACATGTGTTTAACCTGTACCGGTGAAGTCTACTACTTCCCGCGATACCTAGGTAAGCAAACGGATGGTGTAAAGCATAACCAACAGACGTGCCTGCCATCAAAACGATGATACACAGTCAACAAAGACACGTATGTCCCTCGGATACGTGTCACGCACAAGATATCCTAATCGATCCACTTGCAAATCCCGCAACGCACCTTCCCGAAATCAATACCCGTTCCCGTACCACCATCATCCCAAAGCGGCCGAGCGCGAACCACGGCGGAGATTCACGCACTTTACCTAGTAACAAAAGCACTACCCGCAAGCTCTGAATACCTCAAGCTGGAAGAATCTGCAGGCCATGTTATGGGGCACTGTCGCGTTCGACCGCCTATGTTTCTGAGATCGCGGCGGCTGGAATGAGGTGGTGGGTTAGAGACAAACATGACCGGTAAATGTGGTTACGAATGGGGTTTGTTGTTTGTCTTGTATGATGATTGATGAGAGATTCCGTAGTGCAGGCTTAACGGAAGGAGACGGGCGGTGAATGGGCTGTTGTGTATTCGTGTGGATCGTGACTGGTATCGTAATGGTACTTGCAGATTGCGCAGGATGGAAGTCCGAGACGGAGAACTTATGGAATCGCATACATAGGAAATATAGCAGCATCACGATAGTCACCGAAAAAATCTTAGGAAACGGGATGGACGAAGTCACCCACATTTTCTGTTCATTATGCCTCATATTCATGTGTACAATGGACACCCACTCTAAAGCCAAGTCTTATCATACTCAACATTATCTCATCAAACATACAGCTCGAAAATCACACAGCAGCAGCACTCTTCTGCTGCAACTTCCGCGGCGCCTTCTTCGCAGCCGGCGTCGGTGCACCATCCCCGCTCTTCTGCGCGTCTCCAACCGGCTGTCCCAACTTCCTAGGCTTCTTCCGCTGTTTCGGTGTCGGGGCTGGTGCGCTGTTTTCTTTTTCATCAAAGGAAACTTGCTTGGACTGATTCGGAGATTTGGTTGCTGTGGTTGATTGAGAGGTTTGGGGGTTTGGGGCTCCTGACTGGGGATTTGCTGGCGCTCTTGTAGTGGGAGGGCGCTGGGAGCGCGGCTTTTCGGGTTTAGGCGCTTCTTTGGGTTTCGACGGTTGCTGAGGCTGGTTTTGAGTGGTTCTTTGCTGTGCTGGCTGTTGGGGAGTGGGTTTGGGTTGCTGGCTTTGGGCTTGTTAGTCTGTGTTGGGGCTGCTGTGGCTGCTGTTTGTTCTGACTCGAGGCCTTCTGGGCTTGCTTCTGCGGTTGTTGCTTTGGCTGAGAAGAGCCTTGTTGCGTTTGATCTTCGCCCTTTCCTCCCCAAGGGTTCATAGCAGCCCCGACGCCTCCCAATCCAAGCGCGCCCCCTACACCCTTGGCTGACGGCATACTCGGCATCTTCGGTCGCCAACTTGTCATATCTTTTGCTGACTGTGACCAAGACTGCGGCATTTGATCCGGTGCGTCATTTTTCATCTGATCCAACTCTTCCTTTGAAGGTGCTTGCGTCTCTTTTGTTTGCATAACCATCTTCTCCAATGCCTTCTTTTGCGATGGTGTCGACTTGATATCAGGAAGGAAGTCCCCCACAACTCCTTGAACTCCTTGGCTTGCCATTTCTCCCAGATCCCAGAATGGACCTGACATGGCACCATACACGGAGCCAATACCTCCACCAAGAAGACCAGTCACCGTTGATACCACGCCACCGACGAGCGCTCCGGTCAATTTCCCGACGGTAACACCCGGCTGTACTCCCAACCCTGCACCAGCTGCAAGACCCTGGAAAGCACCAGTCTGTGTGTACTTTGCGGCTTTTCCGAAGCTTTCAGCTTCAATCTCCTTGTTGATTGCTTTCGCCAAAATCTCTTCCCTTGCCTTTGCATCGCCAGCTCCATGTGCCGCTTGTCTCAACTCCCAAGCCTTTTGACCTGCCTGCAGCGCCATGCTGGCAGATACGCCAGCATTCTGTTTAATTTCATGCTCTGGAATATTGCATTGCTCCGCCCCAGCGTTATCGTTGGCCATATTCTTATCTGAGGTGTTCGCGGCTTTCGGCTTCGCTTTTTGTTGTGCTTGTTTCGGTGGCATTTTCAACAGAGGAAAGGGTTGTTCTGATTTTGTATAAGTGCTAAGAGCGATTTTTGGTTTTGTAGACGGTTGACACTGGTATGACACTGCAAGCGCGACGTTACTACGTCATCGGAGATCATTCCGATCGTCGTAGTTGTACGTGTGTGGCTAGACAACAACCTGTTTTACACAGGACGCATGAGACGTATCCTCTACATTGTGTAAGGATACCCTCTCATAGGACCATAGTGATTTGGAAAGTGGCGGACTATGTGGCTAAAGTGATCCGTTGATGCACCGGGGTTCAGTGACGTCAGCGACCCGTGGGCAGGTATGGACTACTGCAAGCCATGAGTACACCGGCTTTACTAGCAATATCCGATAGCCCTTGACTAAGATGTGTGTATCCGCATCCAAGCATTCATTTAGTGTCGAAAAGTAGTCACCTAGACTTGGTGTTCACCCCACGCTGTCAACCCCGCTAGACTCGATTCTCAGTGGGCCTATCTGCACGGGCAAAGAAAGCGCATGACTGTTATCAACCCTGAAACATGGCAATCTGAAATTTGAGGTGGCTCTTATTATATCGGCATTCCCATCTAATACGCACAAGGCTATCCATTCAGCTTCCGCTTGGTCTTGCTTATAACTTTTTCATCGCATCGTTGATGGCATCAACACTCTTCTTGCCACCTCGTAAGTCCTTGTTGGTCACCTGGATTAATACTCTGCGGTAACTCGTTAAACTTGGTGTTCCGTCATCGGTGACCTCGAGTATGAGGTGCAGAAGCTGGCCCTGCGCAACTGGCTCCTTGGTCATCACATCCACAGCACTCTTTCCTGGTGGCGGAAGTGTGATGCGGACCTTCCTTCCCTCGTCGTCCAACTTCCTGATTGCGAGTTCCATGACTTCTTCATGGACAAGCCATGTTGTAGCCGTGGGCTCGCGGTAGTGCCACCACTTGAACGTCAGCTTTCCGCCATCGGGATCGTAGGTACCGGAAGCGTCGAGTGTCACTGTTGTGCCGGCTTCAGCAGTGACTTGAGCTGGCGCCAGACCTTGGAAGCCGCTAATGTTGATGACAGGGTGATGGTTCGCTTTGGCGAACTCAGGCTCCATAGTCCACTTGATGCGCGCCGCGAAGTCATTCTGGAAGGCATCGCGCCAGCGCCAAATGGTCGCATGATTGGATACATAAGTCTTGTCGCCAACCCGGACTCGGTCTACGGCATCGGAGTAATGACTGCTATTCAGACCTTCAGTACTGATATCCGTGCGCACATATCTTCCTCCCCACGATCCATAGTTGGGACAGTCGGGTACACCAAGGCCATTCTGAACAAGGTAGAGGAAAGAAGGTGTATCGCCCTCAGGAATGTACAGGTAGTCGGGATAGGCGCTTCCCAGTGGGCCAATCTGGATGTTTTCTTTGATCCAACTCTTTTCCATCTTGGTAAAATCGGGACCGCCTTGATCGAAGCCGTAGTACTTGTCGCCCGAGATTCCGGACCAGGCCGCCAAGCCATAATGATTCCAGCCATGGACCGATGCGATGTACAGGATATCGGGAAAACTGTTGCGGATCCACGCGCCCGTATCGTCTTGGTCGGAGATGGCATAAACCCGTAGTCGTGAAAGCAAGCGCTTGGAGTCCTCTGGGTCGAAATCATCGTCTATTTTCAAGAGCGCTTGGGCGAGAGTGTTCGTCCCGCCCCAACAGAGGACCCACAACGGCTGCGTGGAAGGTTTGATGATGCAGTCGTAGAGAAGTTGTCCACCTTCAGATAATGGTATGTCAGTACCTACAGCCGACATGCCGTAAGTCTAGGTTCCATCAGCAGTGCCCACACGTGATGAACGCCATGCGCAGCGGATACGAGCTTACCTCGGCGCCTTTTCTGATCAGTCCGCGCAGATGCTCTGCAGCCGGGTACTGCCACTCAGGGTGCGCATGTTTATTGAGATTATCAACAGCACCGGCATAGGCGTCAATCATCTTCTCCATGTCCTGAGGACATACTTTGTCTCTCATCCATGTGCTTGTGCACGCCACTAAGCCTTCGGTCTCAAACTCATTCGCGTACAGAAGATAGCGACATAAGGATTCAGCATCGTCGGGCTCATTGGAGATGTCTGACAAGATGAAAACGCGGGGTTTCTGCGCATATGTTTGGAGTTTCTCGGTTGCCATGCTGTCAATGCGGTATGAGGGCGAAATCGGGCGGTGTGTGTTCAAAAGCAGGGGAAACGTCAAGCTTTCAATTGTTGTTGTAGCCGATGTTGTGACAATATGTCTCACAAAGTGGGGCGTTGAGTAGCCAATACGGCGCCTTTGGGCACTTTATTCCGTCTGAAGCTACGCCAATTCCGCTTGCCTTTGGTGCTTTTTGTACCATAGTAAGTTAGCGACGCGGTTTAGCGTGCCCGAGAAGTGTTTCAAGTATTAGAGTTCATGGTGCTCCGCCAGCTTCCGCCTTTGGGTATCCTTCTTTCCTTCCTTCACTCTGGTATTCGCCATTCGACTGATGGTTAGGATAGCCGTTGCCACTCAGCTGTTCGGCTGTTTAGCTAGGTGGCTCAGCCGACTGTGCCACGACTAAACCACATTCGACCGTAGCTCAGCCATGCTTGGCATGACGCTCAGAATTCAGATCTCATCCGCTCAATATCGATGAGACACCACCTATAGGCGGAACATGGTAATTCGCACGTCAGGCCACCAGTATCCTACGCCATGATTGTATACAGGAGTGCCGTTAAGCCGACTGCCAAGCAAGTATGATCACATAGTTCCGAGTGTAGGGTGGGCACAAGGTAGGCTGTGCCTGCCTAAGTACTGCCTTATATCTTGCAGTCCATGACCCCGCTCAAACCCCCATATACCTGTATTGCTTTACAACAGCATAGTAGCAAAGTACTCACCGCATAGTCATCATGTCGTCTATCCAAGCCAAGATTCAACAGGCAGCACACCAGAACGAACAACTGCTCCGCGGCCTCGAAGAAACCGACTCGGCGCCCTCGCAGCTTAAACAGCAGAATGCCTACATGGCCGACCTAGAATCGCAAATCGCCAACATCAACGAGCGCGTCAAGGATTTGAAAAAGAAGACGGCCAGCGAACTCAAAGACCACCAGAAGTACCGCGACTCGCACTTCCGACGTTTTGCACACAAGGCGAGCGGGAAGAAGGAGAGATTTGCGGAAAAGGCGGCAAAAGAAGAAAAGGAATACTTCGACGCGATCCAAGCACAGAAGAGCGCCGAGGACGAGCTGGCCTACGCCAAACAATTATTCGACGAAGCAGAGGCGCGCAAAAAGGAAATGGCGGCCGAAGCCCAACGTCACAGTAGCCTCCAAGCCGAGCTCGACGCCCTCTACAACTCCATCTTTGCTGGTCGTACGCCCGAATTCCCCGACGAGGATCGCAAAGAAGACGCCTGTACCGCTGCGCACTCGCACGTCCAAACCATGACGCAGCGTCTCGAGCGCGAACGACATATTCTATTCCTGCTCGGCCAAACAGCAGTTAAGCTCTCTGCGGCCCGTGACTCTCTCGAAAATGCATACGGTATGAGCCAATACGACATGTTTGGTGCGGGCGGAATGGCGAGCATGCAGAAGCGCAACTTTTTGGAGCGCGCCGAGAGTTCTATCCAGCAAGTACGCATGCTGCAAACTCAGATCAAACAAGTTGCGCCCGAAATCCCCGGACTGGGGCAGATGAATATCGCAATGGGTAGCATCTGGAGCGACGTCGTCTTTGATAATATCTTCACAGATATGCAGATGCACGACGAGATCAAGAGGTCTATTGGCCAGGTCGACGGCGCTGGCAACAGGTTGGGTGATATCATCAGGCAGAGGGAACAGCAAGAGAAGACTCTCCAGAGGGAGGTGGCCGAGGCACAGAGCAAGCTGCAAAGTGCCAGGCAGGTGTTACAGTGGGCGCGTGAGTCCGCTTTCAGAAGCATCTTGGGCGCCTCAGGCATGGCAGGTACGGGATTAGGTGGTGAAGCTCCCCCACCCGAGTATGCACCGCCAGCCGGCCCACCGCCAGGCTACTCGGGCTAGCATGGTGTATCGAATGTACGGAGTGAGTTCATAGTACTAGGACTGCATAATCATATGAGCAAAAGTCCTCCAAATCATCACTATATCCGCAACACATTTCGGCTCCATGCTGGAGTGCTTGACCGAAGTCGTGATTGACTATTTCAATTACATGCATTGTAGTGGAGGATTTTCCCACGGGAACGTGTGCTCGATGCAGTATTAGAGATTAGGTTTTTGTTGTGTGTGTATGTAGTTGTCAGAGTGATGTTCGATAGGATCCGTCGCGATCCCTATGGTTTCCCCTGTCTGAGCGCCATTCGGGTGTGTTCATCCCTGTTTGCTCCACCACAGCATTGTCCTTGAGTATTGTCTAGATGAAAGCCTGGGCCAAATGATTTTCAAACCTGCCATCTTTGAAAGGGGGCTCCGCAGCCCCAAAATCCGTATCTTGAAGCGCCTTGCGCGCCGCCGGAGTCAGGTTCCCCCAGGCAATCAGCGGCTGCCAAGTACCCACCTCTTCGGTAGAAATAAGCTGGTGGTTCAGTGGATAGTAGGAGTAATAGCCGATCGTGGGGTGTCCATTCTGAAGCGCCGGCTGCGGGTGCTTGGAATAACCTCCATGGGCGGAAATGGCAACACCGCGCACAGTGGCAGTTTCCGTGTAAGAGGATAGCCAGACGACAATACCTTCCCAGTCGTGACGGTGGCCAAGACTTGTAGCAGGCGAGTCTTTGGGCATGTACCAGCTGTACATGATGGCCCAGGCTCCATTGTATTCACCGGCGCGGGCGTAGACTTGGCCAGGGCTTGAAGAACAGCCGTCGTTGCTGCCGCCAGTTGGACTTAGTCCACCGCTGTTTTTCATATGTTAGTCCTTTTCTTTGTGCTGTAAATGGTACGCGGGGTTGACGCTTACCCAGTGTTACCTGCGGCATCGACGGCGGGAAAGGGCACACAGCCGTTGAAAACCTTCAGGTAGGGCTTGTGCCTGAGCATGAGCTTTCCACTAAGGGTACCGGGCACGGCTTCCGGGAAGCCAACCACAGCATCGTGATTGACGAGGGTGCGGGTGTTCAGAGCGAGTGGCGAGGCCAGGACGATGCTCGCAGCTGCGAGGAGCTGGATGGAAAGGGTCCGTAAGTTGAACATGTTTACTGATCTCATTGTCCAAGGAAGGTGGTTGAATGGAATGAAATGGTCTTGTGCAGGATTTACCCTTCTCTCTTATATCCGCCTTATCGGCAGTCCTTCTTCCACATGGTCTCCAAGCTCTTGCTAATTATACCCGTATCCTCACCGTTTCTGTCTCCAGAGATTCTATCACGTTTTGCTAAAATATGACGCCCAGGCGATGCTTTCTCCCATACGGGTAGTCTGCGATTACGACTGAACGAACTCACACAAACAAGCAGTACGAAGAGCAACCCATTCGTCGCAGCGCTTATGCCCTAATGCACCAATGACAATTCGCCGTTTTTGCGTACTACGTGATTAACTATGTAGCACGACTACGGCGTTACCGTGGCGATTCGGTTATGGCAGCTTTTGCGGTCCATTTTCCTCTTGGAGAGAAGGCATGAGGGCGATCGTCAGATTTAACAGGGTAGCGTGATTTGGTGGTCTAGGTATTATGGATGAGAAAATGGATAGTAGCCCGAAGCTAGTCTACGTGTACTGCTATAGACATGCGGTGGATTGAATTGACCGGAGCCTCGCGGAAGCAGGGTGAGAAAAGGGCAGAATCGCTGGATAAACGTGATTGGAGGGACGTCGGGAAATTCGAAATACGTACCTAAAAAAAGTCACAAAGGTTGACCAAGAGCAAAGATGGGTACATTTCAGGCATGGCGAACGTGGGGTAGCATTGGCATGGTACAGGCTTACAACATTCAAACGATGCAGCACGACTCTAACTCATGGAGCGAACGCGCACACTACACCTTGGCATGGTACAGCCTCGTGATGGTGTTGCAAATGCCACTGGATTTGCTTCATCCGTACATCCTCCACACGGTGCTCCGCTGACCTGCGGGCGGTATCTCCGCACCCGGCAGTATCTCACGAAGCAAGTCATTGATGTCGAGACCCTTCTCCAGACAGTGGTTCCACTGCCTCGGGTATCCCAGACTCACCTCTTCGAAGCGGGTATTGTCTATCCAATCTGTCCTCCTAATATGCAGGTGACCGGTAACAACAACCTTTGCGTTGAACTTGTTATGCCAATCTGCCGTCTTCTTTGTGCCGCACCATAGCGAGAAGCGTGGGATGTTTGTCAAAGTCACGAGATCCTCTCGTAGCGGCCAATGCGCGATTATGATCAGCGGCATGTCTGGATGCGCTGCGACTGCTTCTGCGAGCTTCTTCTCCGTCTTCTCCACAAGCGCATGGCACCATTCGATACGCGACGGGTAAGGGTCGGGGTGCAGCAGATGCTCGTCGGTCGCTTCTATATCCTTTTCCCTCGCCCACGCAAGCGCATCTTCAAGCTTCACGTCATCGGGCCGGAAGCTGTAGTCATACAGCGTGAAGATGGGCGCAATCAGACATGGGCCTCCTTCACCTTCCCAAACGGTAAAGTCGTCTTCAGGCGTGAGGATGCCGAATTCCCGCGCTATCGCAACGCACTCCATGTATTTGGCCTCGCCTCTTGCGCCATGCTCTTTCTCCGACGGCAGAGTATATAGCTCATGGTTGCCCGGCACCCAAAACACGTCTCTGAAGCACTCTTTGACCTTTGTAAAGGCAATGCGACAATGTTCGGCGCTCTCGCCTACATCTCCGCAGAGAATCAGATCGTCGTGCGGATGCGGAAGGAGCTTCTCGAGGGCATCGCGGTTGCCCTTGAAGGAGAGGTGGATGTCACTGATGGCCCAGAGGCGGCTTGGTGGCGGGGTTTCGGCCGATGGAGGGGTGCTCGGCCGTGTATGCGTCTTGTGTGCCTCCGCGTCCACCAGTTCTGCAATGAGAGGGTCCATTGTGGCGTTTTTATGTGGCCGGGGGAAAAGCTGCAGCTTGGGCGGAGTCTTTGCAATTGAACTCCTTGTTTTTATAGGAGACATGTACGTCGCATTTGGATTACTGCGTCATGAAGTGCTGCTTTTTCAGGCTGTGCACTGCTGCTTATAGTACCGCACAGACCAGTAACGTGTCCGTGCGCGTGATGCGCGGATTCGCGTGATGCGCGGGGAACACCATATCCACTACTTCAAAAATGAAGCTATTAAGCCACGTATATAAGCTGTTATTATACGAATTTATAGAGGGGGAGTAATTAGATGCTTGCGATCAACTTGTACTATCTATATTTTGATGGGAGGTTGACGTTGCGGCCACGTGATGTGAGCTTTGATGGAGGAGCTGGAGGCTCTTCTTGAACTTGAGCACCAGCGCGAGCAGCCTCAACGCGTTTTTGACGCTTGTTGTTCGATGAGGTAGCTGCTGAAGCTCTCCTCTTTCCCTTTTGGGGTAGTTGTATAGCTTTAGCAGCGTCTCTCTCCTCCTTCTGGCGCGCGCGTTCAGCTGCTTTCTCAGCTCGCTCAAGCTCCCTCATCTCCTTGAGTCTCTGCCTCTCCACACGCCTCTCCTCGAGCTCATCTTGACGCTGCAGTCGAGCCTCCTCGCGCTGCTTCTTGGACCGTGCTTTTTGGAGTTTCTCCTCCGTCTCATCTCGCTCCCGTACTGCTTCTCTAGCTCGAGCCTCACGCAGCTTGCGAGGAGACCAGAAGACAGAGCCACCGTGATACTCCTGGCGCTGTTGAAGGTCAAGAGCTTTGCCCTTCTTCCTGTGCTTCTTTTTATGTTGAAGAGCCTCCTTTAAGCCCTCGTTCTCATGCTTTAAAAGCTCATACTGCACAGAGAGATGGTGAACGCTTGAGCGCAGCTTTCTTGCCTCATACTGATGGCTATCATTAACAGCAGCTCGTACTAGCCGATCGAGCTTTCTCCAGTCATGATCAGAGAGCCCTGACGATGAGCTTCTCTCAGCTTCTGGCGTGCTAGCAAATCTACGAAGGATAACGTTGGCATCCATCGGCCAGATCCCAGTGGCTTCGAAGGCCTTCAATATGAGGCTCTCTGTGAAGGAGGATATCCAGGCGCTCCAGAAGAGCGGGAAGAAGTCCCCTTTCTTGATTGGAATAAGGCCTTGAGCCTTATGGAGATGGTTAGTGAGCTCGTTAGAGTAGGCTTGAGAGAGTGGCTTGAACAGCACTACATCTAGCGGCTGGAGCGTATGGGTCGAATGGGGAGGAAGGATCATGAGGAGGATCCTATGGCGATCGCAGTACTTAATAAACTCCATCGTGAGGTGAGATCCATGGCCATCAAGGATGAGCAATCTCCATCTACCTGATCGTTGCTTTGTAGAGCGATCAAACACCTGCTCCAGCCAAGCTAGGCCTACGTTATCATTTGACCAGCCTGTTGGAGATGATGAGACAAAGACCTCATGTTCTCCTGCCTTGATATCTTCTACCCAACTCGATCGTATAGCTCCATTTTTAGCTGCGTAGATAAGGGCTGGAGGCAGCGAGCTCCCATCAGCGCAGCAGCAGGCCAGGACTGTCAGAAACTCGCGTGATCCATCCTGGAGAGATGCTCGAACCTCCTTCTTCTCCCATTGACGCCTGCTGAATATCCTCTTACTTCTGCCTATCAAGCCAATTAAGAAGCCCTTCTCATCCATATTGTATATATCTCGAGCCTCTAGGTGATATTCGGTGATCTTTCGATGCAGCAGCTCGAAGTAGAGTCTATACTTTGACTCAGAATCAGCCAGGTGGCGCGTACGATCCATGGCGCTGGTCCACTTTGAGATGAGATGGATCTCGTGTCGGTTGATGAAGCGAGTAACCCAGCTCTCGCTGAGCTGCTGATGGGCTACTTCTGATGAGAAATTCCTGATCATCTCTCGTGTAGGAGGAATGCCTCGCTTTGTGAGCTTTTCGATATATCTCACAAGCTCTAGCTCTTGTTGTGGGTTGAGTTTCTGCTGGTTGAAGTTCTTGTCTCTTTCTGAGCTTGTCTGGCCCTGGTGCCTTCGGGTCAACGTAGATCTCACAACACCATGCTTAGCAGCAATTTTAGTATACGAGAACTGTTCTCCTGGCTCTAGATTTTCAATATCTTCAATCGCAGCTTGAATTGGGTCCATATTGGTGGAGTTAACGTGTGTTGAAGGTGAAGGGGTTTGACGTGTTTTGGTGTTCCCCGCGCATCACGCGAATCCGCGCATCACGCGCACGGACACGTTAGGCGTCAACCCCCGATATCAGCCCAGTCTCTTCTGGTCTTCATGGGCGGTGCTCCGTATCTTCTATTTGTCCGAGTTACAAATACCGAGTAGACTTGTTCCAATGTCGATCATTCATCAGCTTCTCCGTCTACAGGCCAAGGTACATGGGTACACACCATCGGGCTTACACATTGCAGGAGACCTTGGGAGCGTGCTCCATCCAGTATGAACAATTGTATTTCTCTGATACTTGGACACATTTGTTTTCTGACTGGATTTATCATCACCTCATCCCCTATGACGTCTGGGCGTTCTGTGGTTGCCTTCCCTGGTTGCTCCACCACTTCTGTAGCAATGCGCAATAGATCTTCAAGGCTGCCAACCAGCACGGAAAGAATTTTGCCCTTCACCCAAAATGAGACATGGTTTAGCAGTCGCAGCCAAGTCGTATTGTATTGGCACCTTGGCTCAGCGGTATGCATACTCTTTGTACTCCGATACGTTAACACCATATACAATTTAGTTCTATCTACGATCTGGGGTCCTCACCGCTTACTCCTCAATCATGACATCAAAGCATGTCGTCCAACTCGGTTGATCCCCCTGAATGGACCACACCCAGACCATCATATGGCGACCAGGCTCCATGCCCTTGGGCCTAGCATCATCACGTCAGCACATGATCTCTCCCGCAACCACTTAAAGAGCAGGTAGGCTTACAACCAGACCGTCTGCCAATTACCCTTGTCCTTCATCGCCGGCGCCTTGGTAACATTCTTGTCCGGCGGCCACACATAACTCTCTTCCGCAAACCCGTTCTCCTGCAGCAAGTTCTTCTTGGTCAACTATGCATTAAATTAGCCCTTAATATTCCTCTGGTATGTTTGCCATGACCAAGCAGAGATACATACCTCTCTCACTCTCACAATCTCCCTCTCTACACCCCCCTTCCAATACACACGCACCATTCCCGGTCCGCTCTTCTGCACGCCCCCAAAATCACCCCTTGAATGCCCATTTCCGCCGAACATCAGCTTTATACTGCCACCAGCGCGTGCCGTGGCCATCGGCGCGGGGTTATAGTGGTCTGAATGCCCGGTTTCATTGAATTTCAGGAGCTGTATTGGGGCGCGCTGGTCGGGGTGGCAGGCGTGTGTGGAGTTGTGGATGCTGGGCGACCAGGCGTAGGCGCTGGATTCGTTGATCCAGTTTCCTGGGTTGGCTTTGTAGCGAGAGAAGCCGCTGCAGAGGTGGGCCCATTCGGGGAAGCTGGGTGGGTTAGTGGCACCGGTGAGATGGAGGAGGAGGGGGGAGGATGGGCATGGAGATGGGAAGGAGGATGCTTACATGGGGTCTAAGATCATCTTACCGTTGGATTCTGTGGCGTTGCCCTCCATCCATTTGATAAGGTCGGTGTTGTTGAATGAGGTACAGTGGAGCCACGAGTGGGCAGAGGTGATTGTGAGGAGGGATGCGAGAACAATGGTAATAGTGGGCTTCATTGTGGAGAGCTTTGTGCTGAAAAGATGTGTATAAGATCTTTATCGGGAACTTGTGGAGTTTCAAAGTCCTCTTGTATGCTTTAGCTGTGTGCTGCGTGATCTACATTTGCCAGATTGTGAAGCTGGAAACAGCAACACTTGATGAGCATGATGTGATAAATATAAATTCATCAATTGTGCGCTGAATGGGAAGTTGAGCCTCTAGAACTGAATCTAGATCGCTGATATAGACTTGATGGGACCGGTCACGTCAATAACATTTCAATTGAAAGACTAGCAAACACTGAATACCACACTACTGTAAGCGTCCCCTACTTCCGCACTTCACATTTACCCCCACAGACCGAGCCTTGAGATTCTCGATAAAATGCCGTCAAGTTGCCACGATCGTGTCCTTTGCACTGAGGACTAGAGACGATGCCAGAAGGAAATCCCGATCGGCGTCGTGTCTGACACCTCGTTTCCCGACGTATGGCTTGCGTCTTGTCCATGCAGCGACCTCGTCGAACCCCCAAAGATACCGATTGCAATACCCCTTACAACAGGCCCCATAACATAGCTCCAAATAACTCCAAGGATGACAACGATCCAATCCCGATAGAATGTCACGATCCACCTGAAATTCAATATATTACGGATGAATCGTAGAAAAAGCAAATGTCCCAGCTTAATATTAACTTCAAAGTACAAAGCAGACGACAGGAATGCAAAAAATCCAAAAACCATGCGTGGAACAGTGTCGGAGATGGCTTCGATGAAGGTACGTCGGGGCCAAGCTGGGTTGCCGTGGTTTGGGTCTGCAACATCGACAGGGTATCCCTCTGAGTCCTCTGAGTCCTCTGAATACTCTGAGTCCTCTGAGTCCTCTGAGTCCTCTGAATACTCTGAGTCCTCTGAGTCCTCTGAATACTCCGAGTCTTCTTCGTATTCTGACGAAGAGCCCCTGAGAAGGTAATCTGGCGATTTGCCCCGGTAGAGTGCTTCTGATCCATATGCTTTTGTGTATCTTCGCGAAGTGGATTCCACGGAATTGATGTAGAAGTATAGCGAAGAGATTGCGAGTAAGAATAGGAGGAGAGTAGCAAGACCGATGGGAGTCTGGGCGAGGAAGCACACGACTATGGCGAGTACAGAAAATCGAAACTAATTTGCAATTAGCTAAATGACTTTAAGAAGCTCGATTGTGCACTCCGCATACCGAATGAGTCATGACGAGATGGATGAAAGAGCCATATTCGACTAGCGGATAGGATTCAATCTCGGGCGCTGAACGTTCGAGAGCGTTATCGTAAAGCGGCCTTTGTCGTCGAGAAGCCCGGTCCTTTCCACCTAGCACAACATGCTGCTCGCGATCGTACGATTCATCCAGGAACGAGATGGGTGATTCGCGAACGTAATACTTTTGCCGTTGTGAGCGACGCATCGGAGTGCGCTGGTAATATTCCAATGTTGACGACATGCTTTGGTAGTCTTCGACGTGAATTACGCGACAAGAACAAGAGAAACAACGATTTACAGCCAGAGGGTGGAGTGAGTTTATGGTTGCAATGTTTGGAGCGATGCGACAAGCGAACAAAGGGATGCAAACCGCAAACCCGCATCCGGAACATCAGACAAGACACATGCGGATGTTTGTTCGCAAAACAAAGAATTTAACATGCAGGGCTGCAGAGCCCATTGATTGCTGTGAGAGTGTCTTGCCATTAACGCTGTCGGCCTCCGTCCTGATTACATGCTTTCCCGCGCTTCGACCTCCCACAGTAAGAATTGCACATTGTGCGCATGTTCTTGATCATCGTGATAGTGACCGTTTATGGCATGATCCAACAGCAGCCTTACGAAGTGGTCGTCTTGCCGTCTTATGAACGGGCAAAACTCGCTGTATTCTCTTCCCAGTATAAATTTGACGAAGCACTCGTTCATGACAAAGTTGGGCGGTTGGGAGATATTCTGAATTTCCTTCATCGAGGGACTGATGACCGAGGAGAGGAATTTGGTCAGGGCTGTAGTGGTGGTGGACTGGTCAAGAGATGCCAAGTAGGCGAAGATAGTCGTGACACCTCGGGCGCCGAATGACGATCTAACCAGGTCCTCCCACGCTTGGCCTGTTCGGAAGTCGGCGAGAACGATGAGGGTCCTGTCTTGGAGGCGCTCAGTGTCGATATGATAGGCGTTTCTCTTGCTGGTCGACGGACCGTTCCGTAGCTTCGTATTGCTTCCCACATGGTGGAAATCGATTTTCAGTGCTGGCGACGCGTTATTCGCTATAAGATGCCGATTGAGATACGCTACGAAGTGGTCGCGGAGGCTGTGTGTAGCCGTTGGGACCTTTTCGGATAGAACGGCAACGGCGAAATCGTCTCTCGAGTTGCAGATGGTCGGAATAAAAACCTTAGCGAGCTCCCTGCCAAAGCGATGCGCTAGTCGATCGTCGCCGAACACATAGCGCTGGTAGTCGGCTGGAGAAAAGGGAAATTTCACCGCATCGCCACCGGTGATGTTGTGGAGGGAGACGACATTTTGAATCATTGAGCCTTGGGAAGTGCTCCGATCCTAACAAGACGAGAGAAGAGGGTCAAAAAGAAGCAGCGCGAGGCATTTGTGGTCCGCCTACTGTAGCAGCGGCGGCGGGCGACTGTCTAGATGTCGACTTGCCAAGAACGGGGCTGTGTATACGTCGCCCTTCTCCAAACTGGACATGGTTGGGGAAAATGCCTCAATCCACGTCACGCGTCGAAGAGTCCGCGGTATTTGGGAGTATGGTAGGCCGAAGCACAAGCTCTCTCCGACACGTGCATACCGATACTTGTTAACGACCTCGGGAACCATGCGAGAGCGGAAAGCCGCGTGTCGCATCTTGCTTGTAACAGGTTTTCCGCCAGACTCGCATTCGCTGTGAGCACCCCTAGCGCCATGCGTAGTTCGGAGCACATTGCAGGACTAGAGGACGGATGGACAAGGCCGTGACCTGTGTGGTATTTCACGTCGCAAATGCCGTGCCCGCCTGCATTTCAACTAGTAAGTAAGCATGAAAAGCTTGTTAGAGCAATGCCAAGGCTTGGCAAATGCTTCATCGGGATGCGACTTTTTGGGCTACTACTACTACTACTGGACCTATTCCAGTCCGAACGGATGTTAAATACCGGGACATTGCTCAGGCAACTTACTTAATTCCCAGTAGATCCATACCAGTATATGCAGACCTATTGACGAATCGGATTGGATCTATTTTGCGAAACGTGCCATCATATGTCCCCGTAGACCAGGCCAAGAAGTAAGAAGATTGTAAATCACTTTCGACTAGTGTACGTCACTTGAGTGGGTATCATCGCGAGGGTAGCATGTAGGAAAGAATAAGTCTGGGAATTCAAAGGCCCAGAACCAAAGGAGTAACAGGAAGCTTGTTGATGTTGAACCCAAACATGCGGATGCGTACCACTTGATCTATTCTGTGGACGCAAACTTAGCGACACAGATTGAGGGCGTTCTAAGTATAGTGATTAGCTTCCATGGTCCGCATGTCTACCGGGGAATTCAGAGTGTCCTTTGGAGGAGTCACATTCACGACGTATCATATTGAATACAGAGATATCGAAAATCAGCTGTACTTACCCAGTCCATGGATTTATCGCGATCCTTGTGATCTTTCTTGTCTCCTGTCACATCTTGGACTTTAGTAATATGAGCAATATAGAGCGGAATTCGGTTAGCGTCTTCTTTCTGTTCGTTGTTACAATATCTGCTCTCGGGTCTTCAAAGTCCCCCACAGCTAGATTGTATCGTTGATTCCAATGTGATCTCGACATGTGTATGGAGTCCCGCGCTAGAATTCATCATATGTGTACTGTGTGGGGCGTGTCGTGATGAAGAGAGGGGACCCGATGTCAGCGAGAAAGCCTTTCTAGAAGTGGGAAGCGGTCTAGATGATGTAACAGCTAAGAAAAAGGACAGCCAAAGATGCGGTGTGGTGCATCTAGAAGTTTCCTCGAAAAGAAACATAGCCTCTGTGCGATTGAGGCAGCTTAATGTGCGGTTGGAAGATGCAATAACAGTTTGTTGAAGACAACAACGTACAGACTCACGATGCTACCCCTCAGAGTATTAACATGAGCAGTCGTAGATGACGTGGGGTTCGAGAAACCGGGTGGCATGGCCCGTGCGCGTTGCTATGGTGCAGGGAAACAGCGTCGCATGGTGGACTAGCGCTATTTACGTGTGGTAATATCTGCGCTCGCACCACCTCATCATACATGGACATCTGCAGCGCATCTTCCCTGGACCATCAAAACTGAACCTGCTACTTAAGCGTCTACCCCTCTTCAATCCAATTAATCCCCTTCAATACCGTCAAGTTGGCGCGCCTCAAAGAATCGCCGGTCCCAATGGATCCGCCCGCACCTCTATCGCCCAACAAAATGCCTTTCTCGCCTGGCATGCCCATCTTTCCCGCTAGCCCTGACCGCGGCGTAGGCACAGCATTAAAGTACGGAGGCTCTCAAAACGGCTCACCAGTCATGTCGCCATCGACTCCGACCCTCCGGCCCAATTCCCCATTGCGACACACGCACCGCCGAACCGACTCGGACGTGTCCGTTACAGCACTTACGGGCATGTTCGAGAACCTCGAGGTTAAGGACCCCCGCGAAGCATGCAAACGCTTCAAAGAGCTGCTTGACAAGGAGAGGATACGAAATGGTGAGAAGCTCAACAAGATTGCCAAGGAACACGCGAAGAAGGAAAAGGAGCACGAAATGGCGCTAAGCCGGCGTGATATGCGTATCGACGAGCTCAAGAGCGAACTTGAGCACGCAAGCGGTTCACTGGACATGGCCATCACCAAGGAGCGATACGAGAAGGAGCGCAAGGCAAACAAGGCTGCCATTAACCAATGGGAGACAGTTTTCAAGCAGAACGAGGAGAGATGGAAGAACATGCAACATAAGATGGTAAGTCCGGCATGTCATACACTTTGCGGCCCCCTGCTAACACACCTCAGATTGAGGCAGAGAACCAGAGCAAGATCTACGAAGGCAAATACCGAAGTTACAAGAAGCAATGGGTAGAGGCGAACAACGACAAGTTGCGACACTCGTCGATGATCCCGCAGCTACAGACTAAGATCCAAGGCTTGCAGCGTAATCTGCAGCGAGCCGAGTCGGATGTCAAGTTCAAGACTGAGGAGGCCGCCAAGTACAAGAATGAGGTTTACAGCTTGCAGGTCGAGCTTGAGAGTGTCAGCAAACGTCTTGACGAGGAGGTGCAGGCATTGCAGGAGAAGTTAAGCCTAGCTGAGGGAGAACGTGACGCTCTGAAGACGAGTTTGAAAGAGGAGGAAGTCCTGCGTATCGCTGCCGAAGGACAAATACCACTGCCAGCAGCCGACAACGAAGAAGTTGACGAGTTCGCATCACCAGTCCGTTCACCACGCAAGCAACACAACCCCTCCCGCAACGATGACGACAAAGAAAATGTTTCGCCCAAGAAGGGTGCTGTTGAGCTGCGCTTCATACAGCAGGAGCTGGCAGCAGAGAAGCGTGCCCGTGAGCGCGCCGAGGAGCAGATTGACTTCATGAAGATGGAGTGCCAGTTCCAGTGCTGTTCCTGCCGCCTGGCCGAGAACAGCGGCAAGAACTATGTCCACGACGATACCCTCGAGGTTGAGATGCAGCGCATCAAAACTTCGCTTCCTGTCTTCACACCCCCCGCTAGCGACCAAGGAGATGAGGCGATGGAGGACGTTGTGAAGCAGGAGCCCACTGAGGATCAACGCCCGATTACACCGCCAGCAGAGCAGAATGCCAATGAGCCAGACACGGTTGTCGCCTTCTCCCCATCGACCGGTACCTTCCGCTCCGTCCCCTCTCCTAAGAAGATGCATCAGTCGGCAGAACGCATCACGCCCGTAGAGCAATCAACGGCAGTAGAAACAAGTAAAGCATCCTCGTTTGCCTCCAACACACGAATTTCGACAGTTAGAGCCGAGGAAATCGCCCTTCCGGAGTCCCGCCCGGTATCTCGAGTGGAGTCCGTACGTGGCCGCCAAAGTAAATCCGTCGACATCAGCATCCACGAAGATGCATTAGATGACAGCGAGGACGAGGATATGTCACCGCCACCACCAAGCCGAGAGCCCATAGGTCCTGCCACACCGTATTTCACGCGTACCGTCACGACCACAACTACCATCCCTCTTCACTTCTCCCCTGCAACTCCAGCATTCAAGTCCGGTCGGGGGCCTATGACTCCTTCGACCGTTGCACATGCGGCAGCTGATGCAAAGACACCTATCTTGGGCGAGCTGTCCCTGAACAACGTTGGCTTTGACCGAGAGGCTGCCCTTGCAGCGATCCGTGAGCGACGCGGAAGGACTAGGAGCATGGCCGACGGCCACGGAACGCCGATGAAGCAGATGATTGCAGGCGCGGGCAGCCGAAGAGACATCAGCGCACCTGTGTCAAGAATCGGTAATGGTCGTCGGGCGTGAGTGCCTCGGTGACCGTTGTGCTGAAGAGAGCATACCGAGAGTTGTGAAATGAGTTTGTTTCTAACAGTAGCTTCATCCTCTGCTTACCCGCATTGCATGGAGTTGGCGGCGACGGATTTACATCCAAAACTGGCGTTTATTTGTCTTCTTTGCTGGGGTGTTCTGGGGCAGTGACTGCGCAATATACCACAGTTTTGATTTTGTCTTTTCCACTTACGATACCGTAATTCATTGTTAGTGTTGTTGAATTTGTTCCACATCTTCAACGACCGTTATGCAGATACTGCGACTGAATAGCTTTTCATATGTGCAGGATACTGTTCTCATACATTGTATTTAATTCGAGGTTCATACCATTCCCTTGAGGATCGTGAGCACTTCTCACCCAGATATTTCGAACACACTGGGACGTCATGAATATTAAAGTCTGTTGATGTCTCCACACCCCCAAGCGAACAAAACATTTGAGTGAATCTAATACGCCTAAGACGCTCGAACGAAACCAAACTGGCAGAGACAGGCTTCATTGATTGGATATTTTCAAAGGTGCCATTGCGGTGGGGCGTCGCTGGAAAGAGCCCTGGACGGGATTGCCAAGCCCCACTAGCGCACTATTGGCGCACAAGCGAAGGAATATTGAGTTCGACACACTCGCGGAAACTGCGACCGACAGCAGCGACAACGACTCCGACGCCCAACCCTCTTTCTCCTTCCAACACCGACAACCGCCATCATGTCTGACAACGGAGAAATCGAGGTCGAGAACCCCACCGGCATTGCCATCCTCCCCAAGGAGGTCACCGACGAGCAAGGCAGCGTCAAGCTGTTCAACAAGGCAGGCTCATGGCGAATTCAAAGTCTCTACACAAATCTAATTCTTCGCAGTGGTCCTACGAGGAGGTCGAAGTCCGCGACATCTCATTGACGTACGTTTCCCCTACGATATCGCGCCGCACACCTTGATACAGGAATACTGGTGGTGGCATTGGATACTTTTGTATTGCGCTGCGAGACCTTCGGCTAACTGAAGCCGCAGCGACTACATTCAGATCCGCTCCCCCGTCTACATTTCACACTCGGCCGGCCGATATGCCGTCAAGCGATTCAGGAAGGCCCAGTGCCCCATCATTGAGCGTCTTACCAACTCGCTCATGATGAACGGCCGCAACAACGGAAAGAAGCTCATGGCTGTCCGTATCGTTGCTCACGCTTTCGAGATTGTACGTCGAATGACTCCTTAGAAATTTTCAGACGAGAGAAATGCTGGAAGAAATTTGGCGCTGACTGATAATCGCAGATCCACATCATGACCGACCAGAACCCCATCCAGGTCGCCGTCGATGCCATTGTCAACTGCGGTCCCCGTGAAGACTCCACCCGTATCGGTTCCGCCGGTACCGTCCGTCGCCAGGCCGTCGATGTTTCACCCCTCCGCCGCGTCAACCAGGGTATCTCCCTCCTTACCATCGGTGCGCGTGAGGCCTCTTTCCGCAACGTCAAGAGCATTGCCGAGTGCCTCGCTGAAGAGCTTATCAACGCTGCCAAGGGAAGCAGCAACTCGTACGCCATCAAAAAGAAGGATGAGCTCGAGCGTGTCGCCAAGTCCAACCGATAAAGGTGTGCATTCTGGGTATGTGTGTGCATGGTGTCTCTGGAAGGAGTTTTTTCCAATGGCTGCTCTGGTCGGATTTTGATCGGACGGGATGGGGATTCTTATGCATGGCACGGCTTCTCTAGGCGAATAAGACCCCTTTCATGGTTGCATGACAAAAATGAACAATACGATACCACGTTCAAAAGACCAAATCATTGCTTGGTGATGCTAGGGCGGGATGAGGAATCTTTGCAGTCGCGGCCGTGGAAGATGGTGTATGTAAGCTATTCGCTGGGTAGCACAACAACGCCAATGTAAATCACTTTGATAGATAGATGCATCTATGGGTATCTTTTTTTTTCCTCATGTCATCTTGATGTTGTCGGCGCCGTGCGTACTGAGACCCAAGTTTTGTATAAATCGTTTCATACATTTGCCCTTGCAAGTAGAGCCTTCTCCAACATGCCTCCAAAGTCTTCAAATCCAACTTTTCCGCCATTGTCCTGACCGAACCGCTCAGCCTCCGCATAGGCTCTTGCCATGACCTCTTGGTCGATTCTAACCAGCCAATCCCTTCCAGTGAACATGACGTGGCTACTCTCTTGCTGCAGTTGTTGGAGCAGACCAGAAGCACGAATAAGGCGCTCAACCCACGTCCGATCTTTGCCCTCTGTGTATGCAGCCTCGACCAAATCCACACACCCCTTTTCTGCCATCCCATCTCTAACATACGCCACCACCCTCTCCCTCCTCGCAGCCTCCTCTTCAGCCTCCCTCTCCCTTTCCTTTTTAAGTGCCTCCCTCTCTTCTCTCTCCTTCTGCCGGATAATCTCCTCGGCCACAGCGCGCCTTTCCCGCTCTACAGCGAGCGCCGCCTCTCTCTCCTCGCGCCCCTCCTCGTCCTGTAACCGCCTGACTTGGGCTTGTTCGCGTATCCATTCGTTATATTGGCGTTCTTCGTTCCTACGCCGGATAGCCTTGGCTTTCTTTGTGCCGACGACGCGGTTGTTTCGCGAGGGGTTTGGAGGGGGGTTGGCGGGGCCCGGGGCAAAAGCGTCGGCGAGGTCGCCGTGTTGGTGGTGGTCTTCGTGAGGAGGAGGTGTGGGTGCGCGGGGTGGGCGGCCGGGATGAGGGTCGCCTTCGCCGTCGTCTTGGAGTACGAGCCGCTCGTCGAAGGGGAGGTCTTCAGCGGGATTTCGGGGCTCAGGGCCCTGTGCTTGATGGGGGGCATGTGTAGCGTTGATTTCTTCTTCTTCTCCGTTATGTGCCTGATCTATGTGCTGCTCTGCTGCTTGTTGCTGCTGTTGTGCCGCGTACCATGCGGTTATCTGCGGGGCATAATATAAAGTTCCGCACAGGACGGCTGCGTGGAGAACATCTTGAGACAGAGGCGTGCCTGCGCGTGTGAATGGCAGGAGCAGATTCAGGATCCTAAATGGGAGGGATAGTATGGCGCCCATTATGGTGGTTTGTGTGGTTGCGGATGTGTTGCAGTATTCGTGTTCTTCCAGGGCTGGTAAGAAAGTTTGATTGCGATCCGAGTCCCGGCGTGGGGATGGTTATGCTGACACGACGATTACCGCTGGCGGTCCGTGTAAGAGGTGACAGACTGAAAGGCCATCGAGGTAGAGGATATCTGGTTGTGGAACGTGGGACAGTGGTTGCGTGAAAGTGCAATTGGATCGCCGTCTCGATGATGCAAGAGCGGCCATGGTAGGGCTGAGGCTAAGAATCACGCTAGCGCCGCTTTGGGTCTAGTCAGCATGTTCCCTCGAAATGCGCGTAGGTTCTACAATTTCAAATGGGAATTCGATATTGGATTCTACACTCCTGTCGATTGTTATCATATCAGTCCTGTCTTTCTCACTGTCTGTACCTCGTCTTTGCAGCGGTACTTATAGTCCCATCCGGGCGACCCACTGGACTTCAGGGTTTGCGATGAAACACACAGTATTGTTGTGACGTGCGTTACAGCATATCAGAAAACCAGATGGTGGATGCACCTCGCGTGGAAAGCGGCTAGATGTTGGATTGGCTTATGGCCGGTACAATCAGGGTCGAAGGCCTTGTTCTCCCACGCTCCAGCTGTAGCAACGAATTGGAGGTGGCTGTATACTACCTAGGTATCTCTCTTGAGTGAGCTCGTGTATCTAGGTAGTGAAGATTGATCTGACGAGACTTCACAATCTGGGGGTCGCCAATTGCATATCTTTCCCTGACACCTGGGTGATTTAAAATGCTTCATAGTTTGGCCAAGCACCTAGGCGGCGTGTCTGGCAAATACAGTAGCCCCTATAAATTCAGTATGCTAAGTATTTTATGTCACCGGGGTGCTAGTGAAGCCATCCAATCCGTTTATCCGCAAAAATAAGAAGCGATGTCCAATGCGGCTGTAGCTATCGGCGGTCTTACGGCCGTAAGGCCTTACGGCCGTAGGCGGGCGACAGATGTGCCGCAGCAAACTGTGTTGTGGAGAGCTTTACCATCTCATAAGGCTAGCTTATGGACTTCGATCAATATATATAGTTATGCCCAGTTACGAAAAGTTGAATGGTTTTTAGGATATACCCAGAATACGTCTTGAGCCCGACTCATCTCATCTTCATCTTAAGGTTTGCCTGACTCGCGCCATCGCCACTTCTTTCGCCGCCGTTACTACCCAAACCCCATCTCAACGCGTCACAGCTTTACATTTTTCGGTATAGAGAAGCCAATCATCGCCTTATAAGATCGCTGACCGCAACTCAACATGGTCGTCGCGACTACGGATGTATGGCCAAACACGGCGGGCTTCGATACAGACTATCAAGAACATGAACCTGTCGAACTCACCGTAAAGGGTGAGATACCGCGATACGCTGCAGGAGTCCTATATCGAACAGGGCCGCTCGGATATAAAGCGAAAACAGATGATGGAAAGATCTGGTCTGCAAAGCATTGGTTTGACGGCTTTTCTTGTGTTCACCGCTTCCAAATCGACTTTCCTGCCGCGAATGGTCCACCAAAGGTCACATACCGTTCTCGACGCACAGTAGATGAGTATATTGAGACGGTGAGAAAGACAGGGAAGCTTGACAGTGTGACCTTCGCAGCGAAGCGGGATCCTTGCAACAGCTTCTTCAGCAAAGTCATGGCCTTCTTCCAGTCTGCGCCCAACGAGAGAAACATCGGAGTTACACTATCTATCAACATGCCCGGCGGACATAAGATCGGTGGTACTGAGAAGTCTGGGATCAATGGGCATACGAATGGCCTTCAGACTCTGCACGTGAAAACAGATTCTGCCAACATTAAGCAGATCGATCCAGAGACGCTAGAACCGACCGGGTTTGCGTCTCAGGCTTCTCTCCACCCAGAATTGAAAGGGCCCTTCTCCGCTGCGCACGCCAAGTCTGACCCAAAGAACGGAGACATGTATAATTTCAATCTCGACTTTGGCTACAAAAGCACTTACCGCCTATTCCGGGTATCCGCATCCACAGGCGAGACAGACATCCTTGCGACTTTCAACGGAATGCCGGCATACATCCACTCGCTCTTCCTGACAGAGAACTATGTCATCCTCTGCGTCTGGAGCAGTCACATCTCATGGAGCGGCCTCTCGCTCATGTGGCACAAGAATATCATCGACTCCATCTCTCCCTTCGACCCCAACTCAAAATCTACCTGGTACGTCGTCGACCGGGTACATGGAAAGGGATTGGTAGCAACATACGAAAGCATCCCTTTCTTCTGCTTCCACAGTATCAACGCCTGGGAACAGCCATCCCCTTCCGACCCCAGCAAAACCGATATCATCACCGAGCTCAGCATGTTCGAGAACTTGGACGTTGTCAAGCGCTTCTACTACGACAGCATCATCTCTTCCATTGACACCCCTGAATTCACCGGCGAAAATCGTATGTCTTCTCTCCCTATGCAAGCGCAGTTCCGCCTCCCTAGCGTCGACGCCGGCGTCCCGACCGCCACACCCATGCCCGCTGAACTCCTCTTTCAAGCCGAGAAGTTTGACTCCATGGAACTTCCTACCTGCAATCCCGCGTACATTACGCGTCAGCACCGCTACACATACGGATGTGCCGATCGTCTCAAGTCGACGTTCTTCGACGGCCTCGTCAAGTTTGACAATCAGACTAAAAAATCTATCTTCTGGGAGGAAGAGGGACATACACCCGGTGAAGCCATCTTCGTTGCGGATCCGGAGGGTACTGAGGAAGATGATGGCGTGTTGCTGAGCGTGGTGTTGGATGGACACAAGGAGAAGAGCTATCTGCTGGTGTTGAAGGCGAAGGATTTGACGGAGGTGGGGAGGGCGTACATGCAGGGTCCGATGAGCTTTGGGTTTCATGGCACGTTTATGGAGAGGGAGAAGGGGTATAGGGGCGATGTATGAGGAAGAAGTGAAGGGTGGCATTGTAGCCACAGTAAAAGTTACATCTTCGGAGTAGGTACCCAAGAATTTGGGGTTTGTTACATATTCTTTTGCAAGTTCCAGATCTTATAGTGCTATCGCGGAGGCAGACGTTTACATAGAAAACCCAGACTGGTCAATGTAATACCCACCATTCATTTGAAACCAAAGCCGCGTCGAATCAAGCCGCCTGCATACCAGAATCCCGCAACGAAAACCCTAGCTCTCCTAAATAACGTCCATCGGAACACGATACAACCTCAGCCCCTTCCCAAAAACATCCGGACTCTCTGGAATGATCCTCTCAAACCCCCCTTCTGGCACTTCCAACGAATCTTTCCCCTCAAACCCCCCCAGCACGTTCTCACTCTTATAGCAAAGCAAATAGCACCGGCCCCATAAGCAGCGGTAGCTATTCCCCGGTAATTCGCTCGGCCGTTCCTTAATATGCTCGCACTGGAACTGTGGGGATATTATCCTCGCCAGCACTCCAGGTATTTCGATGGCGGGTGGCAAAACATCTGGATCCCAGTCCATTCTTTTGCCGGTGGGGTCGCCTGGGCGCCGGGCGGAGGCGGGGGTGACCTTGAGGGTGTGTTGTGAGCCGAGAAATGGGTTGTAAAGGCTGAGATCTTCTGGTGTAATGCGGAGACTGGAATCACTGTCGCTGTAGGTGAGATTTGAGAGTTCTTCGTCTTCGAGTTGATAGTCTTTCTGAAGAAACTGTTAGCTTGGCTCTGGCTTTTTCTGAGTCAGGATAAGTAGAGATAACGTACGCCCATTGGAAGAGAGTGGAAGCGGAGGAAAGTTGGTTTTTGGTGGGAAGAGCTGCTTTAGTAACTTGATAGAGATTTCGCAGCGCTCGTTCAACTGGAGAGTTCGTCCTATAGATGAGATTGACTGGTCGCCTTGCTGTGATACTATGGTGTTGGGAATGTCTCTAGGCAATTTTTCTCTTTTGAAGATGGAGCAATCGTCAATATAAGTTGACGATTTGAATCTCGGCAAAAACATGTAGTGATGAACCAGTCATCGTTTCGGCAGGTTCTTGGTGTTCCGTCTGTAGGAGCTACCAAGGGTCTCATCGTTTGTGGAAGGCCTTCCTCAAAGCGAGCAGTTGTCCTCTTAGAGGCCTGTTGCAGCTGCTGCACTTGATCCGGGGTAGCTACTCATATGAAATCTAATCCACCCTCAAGTTCATGTTTCACCGCTTCCGCATGATTCACTCTGTGCGACCGTAAAGGTGTTCACGATGCTTAAGAGACGATCAAGTAAGCAAACTAACACCAGGTCTCACATGTAAGGGTGAATCTATCTTTCAATCCCCAAGAACAAACTTCGTTTGGTAGATCTGTTTGGCAGGTGCTGGGTACTCTTTGTGCGCTTCGCCTTTCCCTCCACCAATTTCTCACACGAGAACCTTTCTATTCTGACGTTCTTCTTTACATCAACCTGCCACTCTCAATCACCGAGGGGCTCAAACTCAGGGCCTATACCAGCGAGACTTACAAGTTACCAGAATATTCAAGATCAACACTGACTGTCAAGTTGACATGCCCTCGATCGACGTTCACACAGACAGAAAGCTTGATGCATTCTTCGCCAATGATGTGGAAAATCTCCCCGACAACTACTATTCTGCGAAGAAATGTGATTGCAACATATGCGGTACGGACGAGAAGGCCGAAGTACCAGAGGTCTCAGAGGAAGGATCAATCGTCTCTCGCACGGCTATTGTACAAACTCGGTCGTGTAAGTTACACAGATGTCAATGAGCAAGCTGAGCGAGCTCAGCCAATTGGCTTGCTCAGCCAATTGAGCGGAGGCCAGCAGCTCGCTCGGCTCGCTCGGATTGGCTGAAACAGGGCTGTCAGCTCGCTCGGCTTGATGGGCTCAGTCCCGATTAGGAAAGTTATATAGAAACCTTGGTGTTGAGTTTCTCAGCTAATATCCCACTTATGTACACCGTATTTCGCGTCCATCTCCTCATCGCTGATAGCCTCCTTTACAGGCACCTCACCACTGCCAAATCCAGCTCTTATCCATCGTCGATCGCACTGTATTGCTGCTAGAAGTTGCGGAGAAATGCTGCGCCGACGGGGCTCGAGGAGGTCACCCAGCTCGCTGAATAAGCGCTCACACTCACAGCTTGAGCCTGGGATTGATAGCATGTCGATAGCAAATTTGCTAAGGCTAGGGTGGCGATCGCGGAGTTCTACCCAGTATTTTATAGGGTCGACGCCCTCGCCAGCGATCGGTTCGCTGCGTTTCCAAGCCTCATATTCATCTTCCTCGTTCTCCGTAAGCCCTGCAGGCTCAATAAAGTTGTTGATAAAGTTGCCGCGATTTCTGGAGCATTAACGCGTGTTCTTTTTGCTGGCATTATAGCAACGGCGAGGTAGATAGTAGCTGCAAATAGAGACGCGTTGATGGAGTTTAGATGAGTGTGGTGGGTGATAAGTAGTAAGTGAAGTGTCGCAAAAGGAGAATATTGTTGCCAGGCGGTTAGCCGGAAATTTAGTAGCTTATTTGCTAGAAATATAGCAAAAAAGAGTGTATTTTATGTTATAACTAGGTTTCGAACTTACGCACTACACCTAAAAATCATCGTGAGATTGCCCCTCCACCAAGTCCTTCAGCCCCAAGTTTCCAACCGCCCCATCTAACCAAGCTAAGCAAGCTGACTGAGCGAGCGCCTATCCCTAAGCTCGCTCGGCTTGCAAGCGCGCATTGCGCGCTCAGCTCATTCGGCTTGGTCAAAACGTCCAAGCCGAGCGAGCTGAGCGAGCCGGCTCGCTCGTTGACAAGTATGGTAAGTTACCACACACCTTTCACAAGCTCTGCCTTCACACCTGGTTGCGCATAAAACTACAAAGAGATCAAGATGAATCCTGCCCAATGTGTCGTCAAAAACTAGTCTTGAGCGCAACCTCTTTGGAGCTTGAACGTTTCTTGGAAGATATATTGTAACTGCGTGAGCAGTGTCGGGTGGAGGCTGTGGATCAACGATTGTATTGCTATCTGTTGTCGTGTTGTGATGTCTGTTTACAAGAGCTCTCGGCTCAGAGGTAAGTGCACTTGCCCACCGGGCAGTGCCTGCTACAATAGAATATCATGTGACTCTAGTCACGTGGTTACATATATTGGAGTATTCAGAAACTATCGACCAACTGTTGCAGAGCCTCATGAAAATAAAGGCTGGAAACCTACAGCTGATAGAGGATATGGAGAGATCACAGCTGAGACCATAACTCCATGAGATGGCACATGCTATACTAGAAGATTTGGGAGGGTTACAAGCCGTTATCGACAAATTGATTCGGAGAAAGGCTCTTTGTGAGACAAAAATCGCATTCTGCAGAAATGCTATTGCAGAAAGGGCCTAGAGTGAGCTGGTACTGATTTGGGAAGCAGAGGTCAGCGATGAGGTTTGAATTCATCGACACATTCGATGAAGGTAGGACGTGCTTTGTAGAAAGCGCTTAATGCTGATCGGTCTGCCAATAAGTAGACGCTACTAAACACATATTGAGTTAGCCATAACGAAATTACACTTCTCCCAGGGGTTGTACCTACGTAGGTAGATGCCAATATGCAGTCCTTGAAAGTACCGTGCCACCTTGTTATCGGCGGCTAAAGACCGCTTGACGAGCCCCTTAGCCCAACATGTTGTCTCTCGCAAGCCCACTTGGTCTTTTTCTAATATGGCTTTCGTCAATGAATGGCGTTTGGCCAAGCTATGCTGTCCAATGCGTTCCGAACAAACCCGGTTTTTGCGTGGCCGAGCGTCTCCGAAAACCCGAGTCATATCCGGTTTGCTTCATGCCCGCATTCGGTAATGATCTACGTCAATCCGAACGAGTTCCTCGTTCATCGACCAATCATCACGTCTAGGCTTTCCGAGATCTAGAAGGGTCTTATCTGTGCGAGCAAAATCGATATTGAGGCTATTCGGCGATTGCTCGGCCGTGCTGTTGTCGGGGATGCTGGAAGCGGGCTTACGCGAAGGGTGAAGTATATATTGACTTCGCAAGTGCCTCCGCACCAGGACATCTATAAGCCAGCAATTAGCATACAATAAACACCGATACAAAATAATCCACCTTATTCTAGTCATCTTGGCTTGTACTGCCCTTCCCGATACCACATACCAACATGGTCGCGCAAAAATCTCAATCGTCAAGCCGCAGCTCGTCTGTTACAGCGCCAGTTGAGCGATCGCATTCCCCAAATCAGCAACATGCTTTCGCGATCTCTTCGTCTCTAAGGCTAGCACTCAAGAAGCCATTTCAGGGCTGGTCGAAGGAGCTTCTCCGTGCAAGGGACAATGATGACGATGACTACAACTTCTCGAGCGGCATGCGTCGTGGAGCGCAGTACCACAACGAAAACGCCTGATATGCCTCCGGATGATACGATCCTTGTTGGATGTTCGATGGGAAGCCGTCTGGTGAGCTCGAGATAACCGACGAATCTCACGATCAACATACAATAAGCGACGATGCAGATTGTCCGGTCAGCAGACCACCGCGGTATTTGGCTTAAGGCGTGTAAGATTGGGAAAGAGAGGTTGTGACATTGGGCGCTTTGGGTTGGTGTGACTGGAAAGCTCTTGTGTTGGTGGTCTTACACGAGACGGTGTTTCTTTCGTAACGGTTGCTTTGCACTGCATGAGCGCGATACCCTGTTTTATTATTTGTATAAGCGCGAGCACTGCACACTGATGGTCTACTTTCTCACTAGCTTTATCATCATGGCAATGTTTGATGCAATCGCGGTACTAGCCGATCTCGCGCACATGATGTCATTGGCGCTTGCCGCACAACCCTCCACGAATTCATCTCTGTTTTGTACTCACGCATTTATCCAACTAAACATGTGAAATTTCACAATTTCGCTTATCCAGCGCCGCTTAAAGAAACATATACTGTTGTCGACGCACGGGTGGCCTGCTGTGCTACCTGAGATTTTCGCAACCAAGTATTGGACCAGAGGGCTCAGCCCGAAACACCAGGGAGCTAGGATGTAAGCCACAAATCTATTGACTCAGCGAATGCGCGCCCCGGTCCAAAACTCTGTGAAAATCGGACAAAAACAACTTCGCCAGTGGCCTTGAGACAGTCACCCAGCGTTGCTATGATCACCGCAAGGGCTTCAACAGCACTAAGAGGTTTATGAAAGCCAACTTCTATCGCGATCCAGCCACTCCAAGTTAAAAAGATCCGGAGAATTGACAACCGATTTCTTCCAGGCAGCAGCATTGAAAATAGGTCTCAACTAAACTGTATTGGATGTTGGCGCCGCCATTCTAGGCCGGATCGTTTTTCAGGGGCCAGTGCGGCTCAGGCCGCCCGCAGCATGCGCTGTCATGCTAACCGATCAGCCTTCAAATCTCCCAGATAAGTAGACTACGAATGTCCATAGACAAAGACTCTTCTTTCTTCAGCACCGCTCCTCATAGTCTCTCGTTTTATTGCAAGGCCAAGAAGTATCCTTCTACCCACCAATATATAATACTTTCAATCTACAAACACCAACCACCATAATGTCCAAGGTTCTTTCCGCAGCTCTTTTCACCTCGCTTGCGACGGCACAGATGACTACCTCTGCGTGGATGCCTGGCCTGCAGGATTCGCAGGCTTCTTTCTCTGCCTCTGTCATCAGCGTGAACAAGGATCGCACAGTTCTTTCTCTCGATTACTCCGGGTTAACGGATATGGTAAGTTGTAATACGAGTAGAGGCTGCTAGTGAGGCGAACTGACTCCCTGTCCTCAGGCTCAACCGACTCAAACGATAACGATCGGAGGCAACACTTACTATGGATTTGAAGCGGCAGCTACCGACGAGGGATTCGCAGTCACTATCTCTGGTGCGTGCTCCCGTGAAAACACGGACGCAAAGTCAGCCACTTGCACCGCGACTACGATCGGTCTCGCATCTGCTATCAGCGCGGTCTGCTCAGGACCACAATCCAATGCCGACCTATGCTCTAGTATCTCTGATCTCGAGCTTTCCATGACCACCACGTTGCCTGAAGATTACTTCGGAACTTTCCCAGTAGTTATCACCGCTGGAAACGACCTGTTGCCCAGTGCTTCGGCCGCTGCGACACCTTCAGCAGGCAGCGCTTCCGCCACAGCCTCTGGATTCAAGTCTTCGCAATCACCATCTCCCACTGGATCTGCTTCCAACGCTGCTGGCGCCAGCTCCTCGCCTTCGCAGACGGGTGGAAAGCCTGCTGAGGCAACCGGTGGCGCACCAGTGATTATGGCGCCTGCGTTGGCTGGTATGGGTGCTGCTCTTGCCGCATTCTTCTTGTAGAAATTGGAGAGAATTGATCCCAATTACCCGTATCACGATAATTTTTCTAATAGCTTATACCCTTGTTGAATCATATGCACAGCTAAGCAATTCATACCTATCATGCCAGCTTCTATTCCCACATGTGAGCCATTAGCTTTTTTTTCATACAAGATTCCTGCATTCAAACCGTAACAGCCACTACCATCACGCCTATAGTACACATACCATCCTCGCCCCCCTTTTCCCGAAGCAGCTCCTCATATGCTCATCTTCTTGCACCCTTCCACAATAAACATGTCCCTCGCAATCATCTCTTTTGCAAAACCACCGCGCCAATTTGCCTCCCTTCTCTAGAAAATAGCATCCCTCTCGACACAATTTGCTCTGCTGTACATGCGCACACCGCATCTCTGCTGGAAACCACGCGCTCTTGATGACCACGGTCTTGGTAGGCACTTCCTCAAGGTCCCAGTGTTCGAAACAGTCCAGATCCTTGTTCCTATCCGAGGGAGGTATCCTGTACATTGAGCCATCCTTGGGGCATCTGACGGCCTTTCGCGTGAAGAACGCTGGGATCCAGCGTGGCGGGGGGCGTTCGGGGACGAAGACAGTTAGGGTGTAAAGGGTAGTGTGGGGCTCGGTTTCGCAGAGAGGATCGAAGTATGGGCTTGAAGGCATAGCTTTATTATTCTTTCCGCAGGCCTATTGGATCCAAGGTACTCGCTGCTGCTGAGTAACGTGTGTGATTTTCCGTGGGGTGGAGGTTGCGCGTTGTGATACTAGCGTGCGTTTGGCAACGCAGCGAGTCTGGGAAGAGTTTGACAAGTGATTTGGCACACCAACAAAGGTTTCTTTGTGAATTAGGGACTGTGCGGCTGATGTGATCTGTAAGTGGGCTGTGAAAGACTAACGCGCGCGTTGTGTGAGAAGATCAACAATGCTCGTTTGTGTCGGCGATATCCGCAAACGTAAGATACAAACGCTGTGAGCAAAGGGCGATGGCGTGTTGACAAGATAGCTTAGTTCTCATTGAAAAGGTATCGTCGGGTAGCCTGTGCACGTGTACAAAGTCAGATCTGGTCCTCTTGGAGCCCTTTGTCGTCGAGGATGATTGCAGTACGTCACTGATGTCGTCTCCTCACTCGTTATCCCCTGCTAAAGAAGCACGGTATGAACCTTCAATGAAGCCCTCTGGTGGGTCCTATCATTCTCAGAAGATTCGCAAATATCTTTCAACTGTTCCTTCACTAACTGGGACTTTTTCTGTCCCTGCTTCATGCAGGGCCATGACACCTACACGATAGAGCACTGGCTCTTGACCGCAAATAAGGCAGCCAGCATGGCCTTACAGATTCGCAACTTTAAGAGATAAAGAAGAAGGACAGGCCTGGCTCTGCCTTCCTACTACACCTATCTCCTTCGACACAGGCATCGCCAAGCCTAGTACAAAGGCTTTCCTCGCGCAGAGCCACGGCTCCGATTCGACAGAGTACCGGCTCTCCACACACACGTACCTTTTTCTTACTCTCTCTTACGGCACTTAGCTGCCTCAGAACACAAGGGATCCACCCTAATGCCCACTGGCCCCAGAACAAGAGCTCTGCTTCATTGCTCAACACATCCCTGGCCCCACGGCCCAGAACCTAGATAGAGTCTTTTCAACTGGCGGAAATTACCCTACCAGACTGCACACACTGCCAACACCCAAAGAATAGGAGCACCTGAGTACCATACAGGGCGCTACCCGTCTTTCATGCCCCCTGGGAGGCTTTCATAGGACGTTAAACAATACATACATACATACATACATACATACATACTGGGACTTTTTGAATCTTCTCCCAGATACCGTCAATGGAATACAGTGTTTCCGTCTCAGAAATTTCCAATCCAACCCCTCCAGCGCACCAACCGACATACTGTCTCAACGTGCCTTTCTTCACCGCAACCATCTTTATACCGTGTACAATTTGCTCCTTTTTTGCCAATGTACTACCAGCAGCCCAGTCGACGACGTAGTGTTCCTGGAACCATGGCGCCTTGCATATGTTTCCATTTCCTAGGCAACTGCAGCGAAAAGACGGGGGGAGCTTATCATGCTCTATGTCAAAAGTGACAGTCTCGCGGATGGTACCCAAGAAGGGGGGTTTTTTGAAGGTCAAATTGGGTGTAGGAGATTCTTTTGAGGTGGGTGCAACGAGTGCGGTGATTCGGAATGTTCGTTGCGGAGCTTCGGGAGTCAAAGTAAAGCTAGACAATCTCCTGTTGATATATTCAGTCATGATTCCGGTAATTGGATTGTGCGTTCCTCGTAACAAATATCTTTCTTTGTGGTAGTTTGAGAAGATCGATGTGTCCTCCGGCATCTTTTATCCCAATTCAAAATGGTGCGGCGAGTTGTACCATGGTTCAGCGACATCTTGCGGGCGAATGACGTAATATTTCAAGTCATCTGCTACGCAATGCAATCACCTAGAAGATCCAAAAACGGATAGTATGAAACAAGTAACCATGATAAGAACACATGCCCATAGACTTTTCTCATATTCACATAGATAACCTTTTCGAGGTTGACAAAAATAACAGAAATCCTTCAGCTACAATCTAGAAAAGAACTCTCTTAACCCTGATTACATCATATCACTACATGCTCCCATTCCCACACACGTGTAGAAATGACTAAAACTTCAGGTCTAGGTTGCGAAGAACCTAATCGACGTGTGTGACTTTTGCAGCGCAATAACCGTCGCTCGAGACGACTAGCCAAATCCTCGCGTCCTATCTCTTTGGAATGGCCGACTAAACACAGGCGCGGCAGTACAGATATGCGTTGTATTGTACAACGCATTCGGGAGTCCACAGCCAAGCCAACAAGCAAGCTTCATGGAAAATATGATTGCAGGTCGTTTTGACCGTAGGTCCGACATCGTTTTCTAGGCAGATTAGGCACTCAGTGGGGGCGATGTCGAAGTAGTTGAGCGGAAGATATCCAACGAGGGCTCAAGGAGGAATGTATGATACGCATATTTGAAGAGGTCGGTCCGATGTGCAAAGGTAAGGCTGACACTGGAATCAATTTGAATATAGAAGAAGCCTCTTGAAGGTATTCTGATGCGGACCGGAATCGCATTGCACAAAGACGATCTGCTGAGATGGAATGGATTGGGGAGTACAATGATTATTCGATGGACGAAAGAACCTGCACATTACCCACTAAGCTATGTAACCAAACCAAAATAACAAAATAAAGTAATTTCCACCTAATTTTCTATCATACATGTAGGAATGTGGTCGTGGCCCAAAGAACGCCGAAAGATAACAATCCTGGGGTATGATGCTACGTTAACTCCACTTGACCAATACTCTGAAACCCATCCAAATATGCTGAAATCATGAACTTTGTTCCCCGGAATATATCCAAAAACGCTGTAAATCACAGAAAGAAACTCCCGCGGCTAGCCGGCATACATCGTTTGACACAGTGGTTGCATGAAGGAGCAACATGAGAGAGAACGAACAAAGTCAGACTGATGAGACTTAAGCGGCAGGACGCACGCGAGGTCGGCCACGAGACTGCTCAGATTCAGAGCGAGATTGGGAGATGCGACGTGCTGCACGCGACGCAGGGCTATTCTTCGCAGACTTTGTAAGCTCGCGTGACTCCAGAGCGGCTTTGCGCCACGCATCAAGGAAATCGGTGTCGGTAGCCATGGCCGCATCGTCAAACTCAATCATCTTCAAAAACTTGAAAAGTAATGTATAGCCGAGCTTTGCGCGACGTTGAGTCTCAAATGACATGCATTGGTCAACGTCGTTCTCCGTGATGAAAGTAACACCAGGTGCATCTACACCGGGACTCACAGAGCGCATATCTGCGTGTTCATCCGCAACACATCGAACGAAAGCTGCAGCAATTGCCTTCCGAGAGACCATGCCATTGTATCCTGATGTCGCGCGGTCAAGCAAGTCGCGAGCGGAGGTGCTTCCCAAGAACGTGTTGTTCATGTGGAAGTCAGTTGACGAATCAGACACCCGAGAAGACTGAGAAGAATTTCTAAAGGCAATGGAAACATCAGACTTAGGTGTATCTGGCCCACCGGACTCGTGATCGCTTATGAAAGTCTTCCTCAAGACAGTGCCGAGGCTGAAGAACCCGCCTCCAACTCCCTTACCTGGAGATGGTGTAGGGGGTGATGAGGAAGCTAGGGCATTGCACGTACGCAAGTAGTCCTCATCATCGGAACAGTCTGGGTCGACGTCTGGGATAGGCTTTTTATCATACAAAACCGGAGGTGATGAAGTGGCTGATATAGAAACTAGGGCATTGTACGTATGCAGATAGTCCTCTTCATCATCCGAGAAGTCTGGGTCGATATCTGGGATAGGCTCTTGCTCATACAGTATTGGGTTGGTATCATCTTTGCAAAACACTACGCCATCCAGCACGGGATCAGTAGCCATAGCTTGCAAGAGTGCCATCTTTCCAGCGAATGGGACACAAACTTCTTCGGATGATGGGTCAGAGCTGCGAAAGTCTGTGGACTCCAACTTGCCCGCTCCTACCGGTTCAGAGTCTGCGTCTGTGGTAACATCGGCAGTATTGAGAGCGTTTTCGACATCCTGATATAACAAAGACTCTGAATGGACCGTGTGCGATGTTCCAGAAGCCTCATGAGTGGAAGGATAATTCGGAACAGTGTAATAGGCTGAGATAGGCTCTGTACCGAACAATGAGGCAAACATGATGCTTGGGCCTAGAGACTGATAAGAATTCATGAAAGGGCGTCTAGAAGACTTCCTTGGGGAATAGGACTTGCTACGGCCTTCGGGTTCTGGGTTTTTTGCGGTAGAGCTGAGCGATTCTGGTGTATCCACCAGCCTCTGTACGCGATCAGGTATGTCAGAATCGCTGCCTCCAAAGCCAGCGCTCGACACTACAGACAAAGCACAACCATTCTCGGCACTAGTGCAATCCATAGTGTCCAAAAATGCCTCAGGATCAGCAACTTGACCTTGCGCAGTCGAGAGGTCTTCTATTGCAATGATCTCTTCCTCGACAACAAGGATGTCTTCACCGTCGGAATACTCGAGGGCCGAAGATCGAAAACACTCCGGTTGTGCAATAAATGTCGAAACACCCATCGAGTCATCTTCAGTGATCGACTTGTCGCTGTGGAGTGGTGTGAGACGTGAGGTAGTTGTGAACGGTCTGTAGGGACTGTATTCCAGCTACCTAGTCCAGATGCTATTTACAGTCAAGATGAAGAAAGAAGGTAAGACGCAAGCGGCGAGCCTGCTTTGTTTGGGTTGGCGCACGGCCCTCACGTTGCCGGGGAAGCGACTAGGCTAGCAGCCTAGTCATGTGACTCGAGGCTCAGCCCGTTACATTACCCCCCTCCTTTCCCTTTAGCGCGTAGTTTTCTCCATTTCCTCCAAGCGTCAGTCTTTAGTACGTTACTCACAGGTTCCCATGTCGGTTCAGTATAGTCCACCCACTTCACATATGCCTCCTTGATTTCTTTCCCTCCCTGCCTTGTTGTGCGTTCGCCCAGAATACGTTCAACCAGCCATAGCTCGTCTCCATCTACAAGTATAGGCCCTGGCTGAGTGTCTCCAACCTTCTGCGATGGGAGAGAGTCGTTAGGCGCGTAGCGAAGCAGGTCTACGTGGAAGACAGGATGGATCTTCCCCGGAACGTCAAGTTGATAAGAGTGGGAGTTGACCTGCCTCAAGACTTTGTACTTTCCATGCAACCAGTCTAGCTTCTTGGAAGGTCGTGTTGTCTTCACGTTTCTAAGGTTCAAAAACACCCAGTCTCCCTCCTTGTATTGGGGCGCTGCTGTTCTTGTCTTGTTAGCTTGATGTTGCTGTTTCTCTTGTGTTATCGCGATCGCAGCTTGGGCCCACTCTGTTGCGTCTTGGAGTCTTTTAAGGAAGCCTTCTGCCAGTGCTTCGCCGTCTCTCTTTGGTCGGTCCTGAATAGTTCGATCCTCTACCAGCTGAATGGGTTCATTGTGATATCCGTGCATAAAATAGAAGGGGCTTAGGCCAGTAGATGAGGCCTCGCGATTGTTGATTGCTCCCATAACGATAGGTAAAAGTGCTAGCCAATTTTCTTGCGTGTAGGTGGCCCAGATTCGAATCATCTTCTCAATCTCTTGGTTCATTCGCTCTGTTGCACCATCGGTTTGCGGATGATAGGCAGTCGACAGGCGTTGCTCAACGCTGAGGAGTTTACAGAAATGCCTCCAAAGATCGCTGACGAATTGTGGTCCTCTATCGCTCGTAATTGCCGTTGGAATACCATGAATAGGGTAATGCCGTTCTAAAAGCCGTTGTGCTACTGCTTCTGCCGAGATATCGTGCATGCCTTCCAGTTCAACTCCCTTTGTCAGCCGATCAGTGACCACCATGCAGTTCGTTGCGTCATCGCGTCCAGATGGCGGCAAGTCCGTAATAAAATCGATTGAAAGTTCTCCCCATATACGTTCTGGGATCGGTAGCGGTTTAAGGAGGCCCTTCTTTGTCTCTCTCCATATCGTATTCCTCCCGCAAATCTCGCAGTTACGGACAAAGCGTCGCACGTCGCTTGCTACACCTGACCAGAAGAACTGCCTTGATAAGATTGAGTAGGTAAGATCTCGTCCAGGATGGCCGGTGATATGCGAGTCGTGAATATTTTGAATAATTCGTGTGCGAAGTGGTTCGCAGTCAGGGATCCATATCCGGTCTCGAAATCGCAACAGGCCTCTCTCGTCTAGGGTGCATTCTGCTATACTCACTGACTTCTCCTTCTGAAGTTTGGTAGGGAGGTTCCGCTCCTTGTTTGCTACCAGCGTAGTGAGCTCCTGATAAAGCTTATCCTCTTGGCGGCTTCGGTGCCAGAGATTTTGCATGTCCTGGTCCTCAAACATGCGTATCTCTTCTGTGAAGTCAATCTCCTCGGACGACAGGGACTGGATTTGAACACTCTGCAAGTGCTTGCTCTGGAAAAGACGGATAAATCGAGACCGTATTCGTTCATCGTCGTAGTTGGCGGGTAGGTCTTGTTCTCGTCGTGACAGGGCGTCAGGTTTTCCCATAGTCTTTCCAGGTTTCCATTCCAGGGAGAAGTCGAATCGTGAGAGAAACTCTGACCAACGTACTTGTCTTTCAGACAGCTGTCGTTCGCGGTAGAAGTATTGAAGGTTCTTGTGGTCCGTCAGAACTGTGAACTTCCTAACCATACGTAGTTCAGGAGCCCATGCTTCTAAGCAACGAACAATAGCTAGAAGCTCCTTGTCATGAATTGGATAATTGGCCTCTGTTGGTGAGTGCTTCTTTGAGTAGTAGGCAACGGGTTGCCAGTTGTTGTTCTTGTCCTTCTGCAGCAATAGGCCGCCAGTTGCATGTCCTGAGGAGTCGGCTTCTACCAAGGTGTCCTTCTCTGGATCAAAATGGCCGAGTATTGGTGCTGTAATGAGAAGTTCCTTAATCGTTTCAAATGCTTGATTGCAAGCCTCGTCCCAATGAAAAACCATCTCTTTCTTAGTTAGGTTGATAAGCGGTTCAGCAATGTCCGAGAAGTTTGGTATAAAAACTCGGTAAAAGTTGGCAAAACCAATAAATGCTCGGATAGCCTTAACTGACGTTGGTGTAGCCCATTCGCGGATTGCGATAATCTTTTCAGGATCAACTCGAATGCCCACTTCTGCTTCCACAATGTACCCGAGGTATTTGACTCGTTTAGTCTCGAACTCGCACTTGTCGATATCAATCTGCAGTCCAGCGTCTATAAGGCGTTGAAGAACCTTTCCAACCTTCTCTCTGTGATCCTGAAGCGATCCTGACGAGTAGATTAAGATGTCGTCAACGTAGGCTGAAACAAAGTCGTCAAGGTAATCCTGTAGAACACCATTTACGTAGCGTTGAAATGCGGCTGGTGCTCCTGTTAGTCCGAAGGGAGCAACCCGCCATTCGAATAGGCCGTATCTTGTTCGGAAAGCTGTCTTCCATTCTTCTCCTTTGGCCACACGGATCTTGTGGAAGGCTGCGATAACGTCAAGTTTTGTGAACCATTTAGCTTTAGCTACATTTCTCAGTGTTTCTGTGAATAGAGGCAGAGGGTAACGGTCCTTCCTGGTGATGTTGTTCAAGCCTCGGTAGTCAACGCAAAATCGGATGCCCCCTCCTGGCTTTTTGACCATCAGGACGGGTGCAGCTGCGGGAGAGTTACTTGCGCGGATAAAATCCTTGTCTAACAGCTCGGTGAGAGTTTTCCTAAGCACTAGTAACTCTTCTCGGCTCATGCCGTAGAGCGGACCCCATGGAATGGTCTTCTCGTTTCCGTCTTGATCCTTTTCAATCTCAATGTGGAGATCAACGCCTTTACGATGTGGGGGAAGTTTCTCAGCTAGGAAATGGTCGAAAGCCTTCAGCCATTGGTGGTACTGGGGTGGGAGCTTCGTCTTTGGATCGGATCGTTTGCGCGGTTTCAAAGCTTTCTCAATGTCGGCGATGGAAACAGCGAACAGTCCAGTGTCGAGCGCAATACCGTCTCCTTTGTTCTTCCTACGGCTTCTTCTCACCTCCGCCATGAATGCGGAAGCCATCACCTGAGTAGCCTTCATTAGTGGTGGCTTGTATGACGCTTTCTTGTGGTTCCATGCGCGGATGTTTGACGCGCCGATATCTAGGCAGCCTTGTTTGGCCGAAATTGTGACGTCGGCATCTTCTAACCAGGGCTTTCCTAGGATCACGTCGTAAGTTAGGCCAGGTACAACGTAGAAGAAGACGCGTTTCTGCTGGTGGCCGTCTATGTCTATCGAGGCGTAAGTAACTGTATCTAGGACAGTACTTGGTTCTGCGTTCTTCCCAGCTGCTTCCTCTAGCTGGCGCGGGGCTATCTTGATTGATGGCAGTCTCAGAGATCGAAAGAGTTGTTCATTAATGGCAGAATAGCAAAGGCAACCTGAGTCAACAAGTCCAGTGACAAAGTCAGTTCCATTAAGTCTAACGTCCAGTACAAAGGGATCGCTATCCATCTTTTGCTTTCCGGTCTCTTTCCATTCTTTCTGAGCTGCCGCGTGTTCCTATTGCTCTGCTTCGGAGTCTTCTGGATCTTCCTCCTCTACAGCTGCCTTGGTGACCACAGTACTCTTTGCTGTCTTGACGCTAACGTGAGTTGGTCGTAGAGCGGCTGCTAACGGGCATGTAGCTATTCGGCAATTGTTGCGGCCGCATCGGAGGCAGCGTCGTTCCTGGCGTCGAGCATCGATTTCCTCTTGGTTGACCCATTTTGCTCGTTTTCCAATAAGTTCTCGGTCTTCGGGACGCCTAGATGGATATCCATTCATGTTGGTCTTGCCGCGGAGGCCGACAGCGTTCACTTGGGTAGTTGTAGGCTGCGTAGGTTCCCATTCCATCATGTCTTCGGGGGAAACTGCTGTGAGCGTGGCATTATTTGATTTTGCTGGTGGTTCATAGGTTGGTGCATTTTCAGCAGTTCGGCTACCGTAACGGCGGGTTGTTTTCGTCCATTGGCCGAACAACTCCATGTCGTTGCTAAGATCTGCACACTTCTGAGCGAACCTTGCGTATGTGCTTGTTTCTGCTCCTGATGTACCAACAAGCCTATCCTTTATCCTACCACTTAATGCATTGCGTAAGTAGGATATCTTCGTATGCTCAGGCCAGCTTTCTGCGTCAGCGTTGGCCATCTCTTTCTCAAACCGTGGATAGAAGGAAATAAACGTCTCGTCGTCCTTCTGGCGTATAGAGTAGAGGTTCTGAATGGCTTTCTCCTTCCGATTTCGTTCGCCGTAGAGGAGTTCAAGGCGGTCAAGCAGCTTGAAAGGGTTTGGCGATTCTTCTTTAACTTGTATCTCGTAGTATGTTGTAACGTTGGTTTTCGCTGCCCCATCAAGACGCATGTAGACGTAGCGTAGCTGAGCTTTTAGGCTTCCAATAGCTTGCGCGTCTTCTTCGATCTTGCCCTCCATCTCTAGCTTCCATCCTCGCCATTGTGATTTGTTTCCACCAAACGTAGGCGGGTGGGGTAAGCTGTGCCGCGGCTTTGGGGTTATAGGCACAGATGTGTTCGAAGTCTCGGAGGTTGGCGTTGGATCAGTGGTGGCGTCTGTATTGTGACCAGGCGTTTGAGGTAGCTCGTGCGATGGTGCTTCCAGCCTCTCCATCCTAGTGCTCATGTCTTCAAGTCTCTGTAGTAGCGACTGTAACAGCTGGTTCGAATCGTTCGTCGTCATGTCAGTATCCCCGGGGGAGCTCATTATAGCGGTGCTTTGGTTGCTGCGTGTTCTGCGTGTTCTGCGTATTCTGCGTATTCTGCGTATTCTGCGTATTCTGCGTGTTCTGCGTGTTCTGCGTATTCTGCGTGTTCTTCTTGATCTTGACTGTATGTGAACGGTCTGTAGGGACTGTATTCCAGCTACCTAGTCCAGATGCTATTTACAGTCAAGATGAAGAAAGAAGGTAAGACGCAAGCGGCGAGCCTGCTTTGTTTGGGTTGGCGCACGGCCCTCACGTTGCCGGGGAAGCGACTAGGCTAGCAGCCTAGTCATGTGACTCGAGGCTCAGCCCGTTACAGTAGTAGTCAACTGCGACATTGGAATGATGGCGGAGGTAACCGATAAGGTTGACTTGTTGTCGGGCTTTCCAGTATCTTTGGTGAGTTCATCTTGGCATGGAAAGCCATTAGTTTGGGAGACTGATGCCTCTGTGACCACAGTCCCCTCGATTAGCCCGTCCTTGTTAAAGTTGGCGTCGTGGTTCAGCAAAGGAGCGGACTGCAGAATGGACTTCTCCTTCTTCGAGGCTTTTGAATGCTTAGGCTTAGGTTTAGGCTTAGACTTGGTTGCGAAGACATACGACTTCTTTCCGTTATGTGCCATTGTGTAAAGCTCGTGGATGACTATAGAGGAGTAAGTCGGGTAGGCTTGACAAAAGGTTGATCTGTGTGAAGCTAAGGCTGGGCTTAGTGGAACAGGGCGATCCGGATAAGATAATGAAGATAGAAAGTACCTTGATGAGTTTCAGATGTGAAGCTCTAGGATAGTTCAATCGCGCAGTGTTGAATGCTGTGACACTGTGAAATCTCTTTGTGTGATCCAGTGGAAGTGAGACAAACAGCGTTTAGTGGGGCTTTGTTTGGTTGATTTGTTTTTGAAAACGTTTGTCGCAAAAGTCAGAGCTTAGAAAGTGGTGCGGGGTGTTATATATGGTATGGGGTGGCGTGGGAGTCTGCACGGACCAAGCGGTCCAGGAGCCCCGTTGAGCCCTGTACCCATAGCAACCTGTTATTCGACCTTCCCGAGTGGAACAACTCACAAGAGACAACCCAGAAACACAAAGATGCGTTTGGTGATGATGCAGACGTCGAACGCTTGTACTGCACCTTGGTCTAGGCTGGATTGGGCTAAATCCGGAGCCACGCTTCTCGAGCAGACTTACTTTGTCGCATCATCAGTTCACTCCATCTACCAGAAGTACTGGACTCAGGCTAGGGGTTCTCTTCGATCGCGTAGGCCTGCTGTGTCGATGTAATTATTCAAGACTTTAAGATGCGGTAGTCTTGGGGGGTGCCTCCCCTATAAGGTCGACTGTACCACCATGGGACCAGTCTCGCTACTGTATTTTGAGTGCTGGACTTAGCACTCGCATCACGTCTGCTAATCATGTCTTCATGATGCTGCACTCTTCACATCCCAACATGAATACGACAGTCGGTAATACTACCTGTGTGGTACTCAGTACTGCGCCTATTCCAGATCAGCCCGTAGCTGTAGTCATCTGCCTATATCTTCACATCGCTAAATACACATAATTACCGGCTCTGGGAACTAATACGATGATTAGAATGTGCGCACAATTAGGTATAAAATTTTACTTTTCTATTAATACCCATCGTCGGTCCCAGTGCCGGTAACGCATTGACCTTGCGCTCGGCCTTGAGGCAGTCATGGGCCCTGCATACGCGATGAACGCATCCGTCGATGCCTGAGTCACGAGCTGGAAATAGACCCAGTATCAGTATTCAATGCTTGGGTGCCCGAAATTCAGTTATGACATTGTCGGGACTTATGCGGAGCTAAGCGCATCTTCTGCCAAAGTTTCCTATCAAAGGCCTGAACGCTGGCTGACCGTGAGCACTTGTACGCAAGCATGACCCTGCTTCCTGGCTGTTCTGTACACCTTGTCATGTGTCCGACGGCAAAGAAAATATGCCGTTGACAAACATGGAGATCCTGGAGGAAGGCCGTTCATTACGTTAGTGCCGATGGAGTGAGGCGCATGGCATTCTGTCAGCCCAATCGGCAATTAACCCCGGATTTCGACAGTGCACTCGCCGGTATACGTCATCAAAAACACTAAATGCAACTGACTATCTGTGCTGCAGCCACGCGACACGGAAACTGATATTCGTCGGCCCTACATTCTTTACTCTATCCCAGCACAGACTTATTTCATCGTGTGTTATTCCGCGCTCGCGCAGAGAAGCTACACATGATCACGACTCCTGGACGCTATAGAAACGTCAGATGACCATGGTAAGGCTAATCGATCGATAGTGAAAGACTTCGATGGTACCATAAATACGGAATGAGAAGAAGAAGAACGAACTACAGTGAGAGGGTCGCGTACGAAGAACTTGTGCGGTTGTTACAAAACTAGTGTTAGGTTCTATAATAGAACTTTTAACATGATTCCATAGAGATGGATGCCCTAAGTGACGCCGCGTAGACGCCGAACAGACCCCTTGATCATTCGACATTGATATCATAGGACTCTTGTTATGTCAGAGCACGCTGGCTTCCCAGAACAAACGGTGGTTCGACAGCAAACATCGTCTGTTCCGGCTTTCCTATAGAATGCCCACCCTGCCTGTTAGTACAGGTCAGCTTGTCTTCTTCCCATTCAAATAAAATCTGCAGCATAAAGCACACATTGACAGTGCAAGGGTAGTGAAGTCGCAAACTCAATCGCCTTTGTTGTCATCACAATTCACTCGTTCACCACAAACGCTCACTCGTACTTGAAAGTGTCGCGAAATGTCTTCTCTGTTATGTTACCGAGCACCTACTCCTCCATTTCAACCACACACAACTACGGTTTCCAAACGAGTCGTCATGGACAAATTTCTGGACACGCAACTTCACCCAGCCGATACCTGCAACATCTGCACCGAGCATTTCGGCGCACTCCACCAACCGGTCGCGCTTCCCTGCAAACATATATTTGGCTACGAATGTATCAAGAGATGGCTTAAGGGAGGGCGAGGTAACACAAATGCTTGCCCAACCTGCAGGTTTGTTGTGGTACCGGAGCCGGAGTCGCGCGCATCTTTCGACGTACCGTCAATATGGAAGGCGCTCTGTGATGAGCCACCAGAGCGCCTCTACACTTTTATGGAGCAGATTTGGTCTGGTCTGCAAGTTCTGTGGCAACGACATCCCACTGGCAACTTCACTGTGACGTCTATTCTCGACAAAGCCATCATTCCCGCTCTCGTTGCTACTGCACGCACGCCGAACGCCCCAGGAAACAGGCATCAGAACTCCATACTAGATTGCTACAACCTTCTAGCAGCATCTTGGGACTCAATTGGTAGATTGGATATGGCTGCTGGCCTTGCGATTCCGCTGGTGCGCCTTGCACGTTTGATGGCCAACGCAGGCGCCGTATTACCGAAATGGCTGACAAAGAATGCACGCGTGAATCGGCTGATTTGGCGTGCAAACGCCTGCCTGCCCATCACTGCAGAACATATCTCTTGGGACTACCTCATTGAAGCTACGCAACCGAAGGACGCCCGCCACATGCCCCTCCTGCATCTATACACTGTCCTCATCTCTCAAAGCATCACGCATCTTCCAACTCCCCAGCCATACCCCACCAAACGACATGAGATCATAAATCTGGTCATCGAGCGTTGCTGTACGAAGATTGGCGGTGTCGGATGTGTGTGGAAGAGCAAGCCAAGCAATGAGTTCAAAGATGAGCTTGTGGGCGTGTTTGAGGAACTACGACGGTACCAGATTGAGAAGAAAAAGATGAGCCTGCGTGGTCATGATGGAGAGGAAGCTCTCGTGAAGGGCATATGGGCACTTGCTGGATGGGGTGGGAAGGGAACTTCGTCGTCGTCCTGATAAGCCCGGAAGGTCAGACAGCGGCGAACGATATGACAGGGTCATACGATCGGTCTCGGTACCTGTTTAAATTGTAATAACTCTGTATTATTTTAGTAGTTTAATGAGATTCAGCATCTTTTCGCTAGAGATCTTAGAAGCTAGTTTCTGCCCCTGGTCATTAGCGCGGCTAATTGGGTCTAGCGCAGAATAATGATCACCGGCAGTGGTCTCGTGCTTGCCGATCCCCACATCCTTCTTTCCTCGGCTTGAACTTGTCACCAGCAAAACCCACTTTGATTCTCCATCAGCAGCTCAGTCGTAGTTGGCCTGCCGACTGCTGTCAGTCGATCACTGCTAACTGTAATCATCCGAGGAGTAGAGTCGTAAGGCGTCGATACCATCAAGGATGCCATGAAGTGGTGCTCAACAACAAATTGCCGCTCATGTTTCTCTTCTACTTTTGAACGACAATTACTATGATGCGCATCTCGGTAGTTGCATCTTATTGCTACACGCGTCGGTACTAGCTCGGATAGATGACTACACCAATGAGGAACATCATTCTAGATGAATGCATGCTCGTCCTTACGGCGGATCAATTTGAAGCTGTTTATTCTCGGCAGTCGAAACGATGGGCTCCCCGAGTACATGTATGTATGGGCGACTCTACAAATCAGCGTCCCTTAAAGGTACGCAGTATTCGTCACAAGATCGTCTCAAGATCACAAACAAAATGTCTTTCTCTGTCTTCCTGCGGACTACTCTCATAGCCACAGCCTTCACCGTTGGCACAACAGCCTCAGCATGCACTCGCGAAGGTCTGATCAAAGCCGCAAACTCATACCTTAGTGCCCAGGCTGCGGGCAATCCCAGTTCGCTGAACCTTGTGACTACCAACTTCACATACTCACAGAACAACAAGGTCTCCAATATCGCGACTAGTCTTCTCTCAACGCCGTCGAGTATTGACCTTAATCGAACCACAGCCGACATATTAGCATGCGCTAGCTATACGATGTGGATCAGTACATCTGAAAGCAAGCCTCGCGTCGTCAGCACGCAAATCCGCCATAGCGACAACGACACAGCCACCATCAGCAGCATCGACACTGTCGCCGCCACGACTGGAGATCTGTTCTTCGATGCTGCAAAGACATTGTCTTATATCCGCGCTGAAATCTGGACGCCGCTTCCTAGCTCTTCCCAGCCTTCTCGAGCGCTCCTCAAATCCTTCGGTGACGCCTACCTTGATATGTGGACAGATGCTACGGCTGCTGGCAAGATATCTTGGGGTACACAGTGTGAGAGAGTAGAGGGAAGTAGGTTGACAAAACCATGTGGGGCAGATTTGCCACGTGGCGGCAGTAAGAAGGCAAATGGTATGAGACGGTACGTGATCGACGAGACAGTGGGCAGTGTGCAAGTCTCTTGTCAATTTGACAGCCTCGGAGCTTGGCCAGATAGTCACGAGATCAGGGTCGAGGATGGCAAGGTCAAGTATGTCCATACTGCTACCGTTATGAGGGGCGTTGGAGCTTGAGAAACACTCGGCAACTTGTGCATGCGGGGTTCGATAAGTACATTGTGAAATAACACGTTTTTTCCATCTCTCATTTACGAAATTTCTAGATACTATTCCGTGTAGTCTACTCGATGTCAGCACTCTTAACAACAGTTCCGAAAACATCCCCAAGCTCCGCCAATGCCACTCTCGTCACTTCGTCCCCCTGCACGCCCGGGATATCGCGGTCGCCGATGGCATCTTCAACTAGAATCACCTCATACCCTTTTTGGAAGGCTTCTCTTGCGGTCGTCGAGACGCACACATGCGCCATATAGCCTGTTAGCACGACTTTCTTGACTCCCCACTTCTGCAACGTCTCATGCAGCGACGTTTGCTCGAAGGCGCCAGGAAATAGCTTCCAGATCGTTTCTTCGCCATCCTGATGGTAGCATGTGTTAATTTTTATCGTTCGTCCGAAAGCTAGATCACGGTACTGCGCCTTTGACCTCATGATCGTCAGCTACTCCAGTACTGCGTAGATACAGCGCTCCGTCATGTCTTGAGCATATGTGATCGACTAGCATCGTCTGCGATATCTTACGACGAGTCTGCGATGACCTTTCCACTCGCGGCTGCGTTGGTGACTTTAAGCGCTCCAGATGCCTGGGAAGGTTAGACAGGGTCTCTTATGGTGTTACTCATGGCTGTTTACATATTCATTCTGCGCATCAATAATCAACAAACAAGAGTCGTTCGTCGATGCTGTTGAAGCCGGTATTCCCACAATCTCGCGAAATGATGGAGGCGCCATTTCTGATCCAAAAGACGATGATTGTGTGCAAGACTAGCCACAAAAGGTAAATTCAATTTTGTAAAATTCTCAGTTGAAACAATGCAGGGCTATGAGAAGAACAGGGTCCAGATATGTGCATGTTGGGGATATCTATGATCTTACGGGATAACTAGCTTAGAAACATACCCCGCACCCGTGATCTCGATGTTGGGTACCTGCATGACGTGCATCCAGAACCTCGGTCCAAGAATGACGGCCCGCTCCTCGAATGGCAATTGGCTGTCTTCTCCTGTCTTTCTGACTTATGCTTGTATAATGAGAGATTTGTCAGCCTAATTGGAAATAGATGGACCGTGCGATGACCCACAGATTATGTTTGTAAGATCTGAAACTAAGTTCTATCATCACATCTCAGAAGCCTGTCAGAGACTCAGCTTACTGGGGAAATTTCTGTGAGATAATCACTATATTGTTCCTCTTAGAAGATGATAGATTGGGTTTGTCGGTAGCATTTGTGATGAATACATGGAAAGGTACATTGGCACCCCATGTGGAGGTATCGAGGCATTTACAAGCCGTCATTTGGTTTTTGGAACATACAAAGAGATGAACATCTTTGATTGCAGCTATTATGAAACACACTAGAAACTTAGAAAAAGAGAACATAGCCTCGATCGAGCATATGAGTCTTACAGTGCCTATACATCAACCGATCGACGCAAAATAGAAACAACTTCACTCTGAAGCCCCCAATACACTTCCTTTAATTATATCCCCAGATTTTTCTCAGTACTGGATAGCTACCACCACTCATCATGTAACGTTCAATATCAGCAGGCCGGGCAAACCGCGCTGTTGACCGATCCAAAAGCCTGAAATACCCTTGATCCTCTTGCGCGAGATTAGCAGCCTCGCCTTGATCGCTCACTACGATATACACCTGGCTTAGAACAGGCTTTGTAACTACAAAAACGAATATTCCAGAAGCCTTGACACTCTGGAGAGAAGATCCCCTAGAGTAGTGCTCGAAAGATCGGTCATGCCAATAGACGTTGTGAATCTCAAGGGCGAAGCTCTGTCGTTGGAGAAACAATGCAGACTGCTCAGTTTGCTGCGTATGTGAAAGGCGTAGCTTCTGGAGACGAGACCAGTCTGGGGATCAATCGGGATGACCTAAAGCTCCCATATGAATGGAGGTACTTTTGCATAAGCCAGTCCCACTGATGCTCAATTCTCTCAAGCCCGCGTAAAGCGATCCTGTTCCAAGTCTCTGGGAACTTAGGATGGAGAGATCCGCTTGCATGGACTGAGGAACCGTATGATTGCTGCCACTGTAGATAATTTCGAGAAAGTCTCCAAGCTGATCCACGGGAATTGGATGCGTAGAGGTCCTGGGTCGACATAGTGCGCTATTGAGTTTGGTTTCTATGTGTACACGAAGCTTCTTTTTCCGCTTAGGGTTGCGCAAGACCGCATTGATGGCATCGTGAAAGATCATAAGGTATACCAATTCGGTAAATTTTGTATGGTTTCTGAGCGTTATGTTACGGTTCATCCACATTGCATTTGCAAACTCGTGTGCTTCTTTTCCTTTGCTAGCGAGAATAAGGTTGCGCCGATCCTGGTCAGAACGTGGATCTTTGTCCAATCGTGAAGGATGGAAAGGATGATACATCATCGTAGCGATGGAGTCCAGGTTATGCAAGGCGGTAGAAATGATGTTTCCCATCGCTGGGTTACACAGTTGTTCGTGGCGTTTTACGTGGTAAGTATGGAAGACATCAGATATGATCGTATGAACGCAGGATCCTCCGAGATCGATATCATCGGTGGCGACGTCAATGTTCGAGGTGCGTGATGGCAATGCGGCCTCGAAGACGATAGTTCTTAGGTGTTCCGGTAAAGCGTTGCGACACATGCCGTTGTTGGTGAATCTCTGCTGTGTCATTGCGATCTGCCAAAGCTTCTTGGCGCTCTCTTTCATCGACAGTATCCGATAGGGTACTTTCCAAAGGAACTCCCAAGGGACCATGTCTTTGCACACGAGCCGGAGAGACGCGACATCCTCGATGTTGTTCAGATAGTCAAGGACCATCTCCTTCAACTCGAGCGGCAAGTCTCTGAACGATAGACTTTTACCTGCCTGTACGGTCGTTGATTCGCCTGTAGTAGCCATTGTAGAATGTTATCGTGGAAATCGCAGTCAACACGATCAATACGGGCCTGAGGTTACAATTTTCGTGTTTAGCGCTTGACGACGGCCTTGTTAGTGAGTGTGATAATGGATAGGACCAGGGTCCTTACCAAAGTTTCTAGCACCAACCACATGAGGAACCCACGTGTGCCATAGTGAAAGAAACACTAATGCGCAAGTCTGGTCGCTTCGCACCTAAGATCCACATCAATTTTGTTTTCCTGCCGCACCTCGAGCCGCTGTTGTGTTCCACGTTGAAAGGACAGACTCTTGCATAGCCAATGTGTTCAAAGGTGCTCTCATGTTATTATGAGGTGGTAACGGTGGAGGGCCTCGGAATTCGGAATTCGGAACGTTCCAAACAACCGCTCCGACAATCACGGAAGAAAGACGCCGGGACCAGGGCAGGTCGCTAGCTAAACAAGTTTGCAGCCGGTACCTCAACCATGGAGCGTTGAGAGGGCTGGTCTGCGTATCGGTAGCTCAACCGGAACCTTCCAACAGCACTAGATAGTTGCTTCGGCGCAAAGTATTCGTAGTGGATGTACCAAAAATCGTGTCCAGAGTACCGGAAATTTCAACCCATACCTGATCAGATACAGAGAGACCTAGCCTCTGTCCATGACATCATACGTGCTATCTGAACCCTATGACCATAACCCCACATTTCTTCCGGCGCTGTGATATGTCCAAGATTGCTAGCCAGATTATTGCGGCTGGAACATCCGAAGCGTTTGAGATGCACTAGGATTACAAGGATCACTAACAACGGTAATGACTACAACTTCAGTGCTAGGCATGCAACTCGCTATAAGTTGAGACCCAGTTTCGCTGTTTGCAAGAATCTTATCATGATATTTCAGCTGCAAAGTGTAAGAAGGCTTACGCAGATAACATAGAGTGCCATAGCAATTGCTTAACATCCTCTGGAAAGGGTAGTTTGTCTCAAGTCGCTCATCAGGTGGGATGGCATTTACAAGCAACAACATGTCCACTGTAATGTGATGATTGGAAATAGCAATCCTAGAGCGCTTCCTTATCTTATAATGCCCAACTGTCTCCCCAAATGCAGCGGAAGTCTAATGGGCATTCTCCGCCATTTACACAGAATTTGTATCATATTGCGGTAATAGACCAACTTAAGTACGCCGCAAAACGCGAAGAAACGGTGAACGTCTTCGAAAATCAACTTATTCACAGCGTTCGATATAGCTTTTCAACTGCCGTCGTAGCCCACTACTTCCTTGTATGCTAGGCTGGCAAGACGAAATATTCTACATTCGTGCGGTATAAGAAAGCACTGGTATACCATATACTCCTGAGTTGTGTAACTAGTCTTGTAAAATCCGATGTGTCTACATGTCAAGCGGAAGCTGGCGATATCCGTTACATTCGGCTCTAGGTACTCATGGATCAACATGATGAGCTCCATGGGTAGGCGTTGAAAAGCTGCAACCAAAGATACCTTCGTTTGGAAATAGATGGAACACTTCTTGAGTTGTAAGTGAGGACTGACGTAAAGTTAGTGCGATGATGGAAATTATCGCAGGGTTGCGTGCATCGATAGATATAGACATATGAGAGAAAAAAAACTGGTTTGCCATTATACCGGTACCGTGAGAAAATGTGACACAGATTTGACGATCGTTGTACTTGGGGACGTTTTATTGGATGATCCAGTCATACACGAACCGCAGAAGTTCGTTCCGTGGGTGTTGAGGCCACAAACATAACAGGAGTCAATGAAGAAGCTACAATAATTGGGTTAGGCAGAAGAACTTGTAATTGACATTGAGAGTAAGATGATATTCATAGATCAGCCCCATCAACTTCATGGCGGACACCCCAGGCCCCTATCAAGCAACACTCGCGAATAAAATTATCAAAGTCGCACCCAACAGCATAGGGACTGTGTCAGCTTCGAAGCTGCTGTACAATTTGAATCGTCAGCACACTTCATCTCCACCGACGCGTTACCGAGATATGCGCTTCAAGCGACTAGAAATAGCGATTTCTTTGGGTCTGCGACTTGGCGTAAGCGGCGTTCCCAAGGCATAGAGTGAATATGTATACTCACGGAGACTACATATATGTTCTTCCACCGGGTGCCGCCTCTCGCACCTCTTTCAAATGCCTGCCGTGTTCTTCGATAGCTTTGGGACTTGTCTTGCGCACCTCGCCCTGGCGAAGCGCATACGAGTACCACGTTTTAAAGCATTCTTTTTGTGTCGCCGTTGGGTAGCGGACACCTTTCGCGCGATGCGCTTGGAGTACTATGGTCTCGAGCGAGCGGGTTGAGGCTGGCATCGTGTGGATTTGTCGTTGGGTCTCGCGGGAGGCAGGAATGTACGTTGATGTTTGGTAGCGGGCGTAAGATAGCGTTTCGGGGCCGAGCAAGAACCCGAGTTGGTAAGGGAATAGATGTCACGCGACAGTAGAATATAGTAGATTAATTGGCACGAGATACGCACCGAAGAAGATTGAAGCCAATAGTAAAACGTTGGGGAGAAGAGGAAGTGTAAAGAAGAAGACGAGGTATCCGGGGTGCATGGGCTGATATTACGCTCTTCGGCTCTCCATCGCATCTCCGCACAAACATCAACAGCAGGCGTGCGCATCCGCACAGTGCAGGTATAGCAGCCAGAGCTAGGCTTGACGGAGATCGACTTCGCACAAGCCACTGTAGGTCACGATAGAAAGCCCTGTCTCACCATGAGATGTGATCCAATCGTGAAGTCGCCTCAGGGTTTCCACGTCGACTACGGGGGACCGCGAGCATCGGATCCGCGTTGCTAGTCTTCCCTAAAGGCTGGATTCCATATGAGAATAAGGAAAAGGCGAAGTCGCTGCCAAATGAGTTCAGCGTTCCCAAAGATGCTTCAGACACGTAATTGTAAGCTTCGCATTGGAGAGGGTCGTTCGGCTCGCTCGTCAACAACAGGAGACGCCATGTTGCCAGAAGTGCGCTGTGTATCGTATGCCTACGAAATCTTGTGCGATGCTAAGAGGGGAAGAAAACAGACACTCATCGAGAGACATCGATGCATGCGGATTATGCTCGTGGGAGGTGCGAGGGCTAAACGGAGAAAAGCGGGGTAAGTTAAAGAAGTGGGCCGAAAGCACGCGCCGTCTGCATCGCGAGTAGGAAGCGATGCTCATACACGACAATTCGGCAGAATTTTCTCATGATTACTGTTTTTTAAATGAATGGTCTTGAAGAAAGTTGTGCCATAACATACAATGCGCATGATGTGTTAGACAGGAACTAGAAAAGAAAGGACCCCTAGATCCAGTCCATCCACAGACACCGCAAAGCTGGATAGCTTCCGGGGCACGTTGGTAGTGTCAGCTGGCCTATGAACTTGCACAAAATAAACCTAGCCTAAGCAAGTTAGCTGTTGCGACCAATGGTTTTTGTCCTTGTAAGATTACGCTCTGACGTCTAGGGTCTGTACTTACAGAGCTTCACAAGAACGACCGTGTACCCGTACCATTCACCATATTAGTAGGCACGTCTGACCATGTCACTGGAAAATCCGAGTTCTTTTTGACACAGACCTTGAAGCCAACCATTTTCTTATGATCTCCGCCAAAATCAATCCACCCTTCAAACCGTCGGCAATGCAAGTCGAACTTGATGTGCCCAGATTTGATGGCATGTCTTATCCCCATGTTCTTCCATCTATCGCAAGACATGTGTACACGTGACTGGAAGTCGAAACTGGGCGCACGTGTAAGGTCGATGTTAAGAGGTGGTAGCCTGTGGAGTGTACCCAGATTATGGCGGCCGTCTTTTGAGATACGTTCCGGTCGTCGATCCAAAGCAGTCATTGCATCCCTATGTATTCTCCTTGATTCTTCGTTTTAAAGCTCTCTATCACTTGCAGTTGCCCATAGATACTCGGCAGTGAAGTTCTTGTCGAGCCCTAGGATTACTGGACCTTCAACTACAGCAAAGTCAAGATAGGCTTCAAGCACGCCAAACTTTGTCGAATGTCCTTTGAGATAGTTGATCTTGATGCTACGTCGCAGACTGTCAGCACCCAGGCCCTGAAATGCTTCTGTGAATATCATATATGTGGCTGTCACGTTGTAAAAGTAGTCTCTCAGTTCGAGGAGCGAGTGCCAATGCGAGTAAGATGACAGCATGTCTAGAAAAACATCTCCAGTAATTACTACTGATGAATCGGCCCGCGGTGCTGATAGGGATGGTAATAGTTCAGCTTCACAAGGAGATGTTTTGTCCTCGTCGACGCCCTCAGTGTCTGGCAGTGGTTCGGAAGGTTGCTCCGCGTACGTATATGTTACGACTTCTTCGTAATTCTCGGGCTCTGGGGATGGCGACATTTTTCTCTGTCTCTTGCGTAAGGAGCGTGACGGTGTGCGAGACCGAAAGGGCAGTTGTAGTTTTGGCTCTGGTGATGATGCCTTGATGTCTTCTTCACTTTTGGCGTCTTTATCAACCTCCAGCTTTCGCTTTGTCACAGAGGAACAATTGTCTTCCGTGGGGGTCTCTATCCAATCGTGATCTCTTGTATAGTGCGTAGCAAAACACCAACAGCCATTCTCAACATGCAGTATCTTGTTTTCATAGTAAGCCCTCGAAGCTTGATGTTGAGGGAACGACAACGCCCATTGTTCCTCCAGATTGTGGAATATCTCCAATACAGCAGCTTTATTCTATGAAACTTAGCACAAGTATACTCCACGTATGAAGCGGAAACTTACTGGAGAGATATTGTTGCCATAGCTGCTATCATTCTGCTTCAGTCTTGCGAAAATGACGTCCTTCGATGGTGATTCTGCGGATTCAGGTGATATAAGACCGTAAAACAAGCACTGCGCTTTTAGCCATTCTTTCGTTAGATTGTAGAAATCAGACTCCGCAACAATCAATCCAGATTGGTCAGATTGATTGATTTGATTGGTCATTTGGAGTTTTTACCAACTCAATCAACTCAATCTAAGCTTTTCAAAATAGCTAATCAAATCAACTTGCGAAGGTCAGATTGATTGATTTGATTAGTTAGATTGATTTATTATTAACGAGTTGTAAGGCGAGTAGTGTCGTATTAAGAGAAGGTTTTTGGTGTTGAAGATAGTTATCTTGGACCCCTATCTCGCTTAGCTTGTGATCCCTGTCGGCCGGGCAAGCCAGTCTCTATGCATTCACTTCTCACCAGCTAGCTCTCCTCTTATAGGACTAGCTCCTTCTGCTTAGGGGCTAGCCTCTTCTAGGCTTCACCCCGCACCTATATAGCTAGTCCTTCGCTGTTCTTAATACAACAACGATTTCGCTCACTCAGTTCCCTAATAATCCCTTACACACAACACTAGTTGCCTAGCTACCTATACAGACATTTTTCTTTAGTGTTTAGTATCGCCCACGATGGCCAAACGCTCTCGAGTTCCCACCAATACTGCTGCCGCCGCCGCCGCCGCCAAACGGGCGCGCCTATCAAGGCCCTCTGTCCTATCTCAGCGATCGCTGTCGCCTCAGGAAACCCTTGGCGCCGCCGTAAGCCAGGCCACAACGTTTGAGTCGCAATTTTTCGAGTCGCAAACAGAGGAGGAGGGTGCGGCTGAGGGCAGCCAGGCTGGTACAGCAGCAACAACAGAGGCTAGTGTTGATACAGAGCCTGATAATGGCGATAACTTTGACGGCATTAACTGGGATCGCCTCCCTCGGTTCATGAAGCCTCTTACAACTGGGCGGCGCGTCAAGAGTTGGATCTTTCAACATGGATATCGCGTTGTTGAGCTCTACGATCAGAATCGAGTGTGGTTTGTATGCAAATACTGCCACATCCACAAGGTCATTGACACTGGCGGCAGTGGAGTTTTTGACGTATCAAAGGCCACCTCCTCAGCTGCAGCTCATCTTGGCCTTCAGAAACGAGGCCATGGCTTTACAAAAGACGGCCTGAAGCCTCGAAGAACAGGGCAGCAACTCTCTCTACGACAGACGCTGGAGACTGGTGTTGCAGTCTCTCAAGAGGCTGCCAACGCGATGGGCAACTTCAACATCCAGCAGTTTCGTGAAGTTGCAGTGTTCTGCCTTCTTGATAACAACTTGCCAATGGAGCTACTTGCAAGGCCGTCCTTTCGCGAGATGATTAGCCTTGCAAACCCAGAGGCAGAGGCAGCTTTGTGGGTAAGTCCTCGCAGTGTAGCTACCTACGCAATGCGCCTCTTCCAATATATGCAGCCACAGATTGTCTGCGCTCTGTCAGAAGCTGCAAGCAAGATCCACATAAGCTTTGATGGTTGGACGACAAAGGGTGGCAAGCGTGGATTCTTTGGAGTCGTTGCACACTTTGCTAACGCCTCTGGAGTGATACAAGATCTCCCCATCGCCCTCCCACATCTCGCAGGCTCTCATACTGGTGATGCTATCGCTGATACAATTAAAAAGACGCTCCAAGAATACAGTATTGGGAGTGATAAACTCGGCTACTTCGTCCTCGACAATGCTGCAAACAACGATACTGCAGTCTCCTCGCTCGCCCACGCGTACGACTTCAACGCTGCTCACCGACGCCTCCGCTGCGGCCCTCACACGCTTAACCTTATTGGCCAGGCAATTATCTTTGGCAGCAATCAAGAGGCGTACAACAACAACAACGACGAGCAGCTCCAAACAGAGGAGGTGTACATGCAGGAGTGGCGTCAAGAAGGGCCCTTAGGTGTACTTATCGACGTTATCAACCATATAAAAATGTTGCCATTCAGGACTACCCTTCTTGGAATCGGCCCGATGCTTCTTGGCCGAATGTTCTACAACCTTCACTTTCACTCCTTTGCCGTCATGTGCTTACGCACATCTCATGTATATAACCTTGTGTATCTACTCCGTAGGACAATCAACGCAGTTCTCATATGCAGTTGTTGACGTCTTGTCTACTGCGATAAAAAACGCCTCAACAACACGAAATTTTCCGAAGCTTCCAAACCGCCGCCAACGCCGAGTTGCCAGCTAGAGAGCGCCTCCACGTACTTGAGCCTGTGAAGCCTGTTGTTACACGCTGGAACTCTTACTACGCTGCCTTCAAACGCGCAACTCAACTCCAGGCAGCATACAACTCTTACGCTGAGCACTACATTAACGCACTCTCCCTTGAAGATCGCCGCGCTTGTCAACGTGGCAATAAACTCCCTGAAGCACCTAGTTGGATGAGATCAACAGGACTTACAGCTGCTGATTGGGCGGTGATAACAGAGTATCAGGACTGCCTAGAGCCGCTTAAGCTTGCTACGGAGAAGCTTGAGGGTCGCGGAAAGGCAGGCAAATACGGCGCTATATATGAGACTATTCCTGTATTTGAATACGTACTTGGCGCGCTCGAAGCCCGTACGCGCTCGTACGAGCAAGTTGACTTCAACCCACCTGATGCGCCTGAAGATCACCTCTTTGTTAACCTCCGCGCCGCCTGGAGTAAGGCCAACGATTACTACAACAAGCTCGATCGATCGCCAGCATACTACGCTGCTACCTGCCTCCATCCATACTACAAATACTACTGCGAGAACAGCTGGGTGGATAAGCCAGAATGGCTAACATCAGCCAACGCTGGCTTCCTGCAGCTCTGGCAGTCGTATAAGCCTCAACGTACACGTCCTCTATCTCAAACAACTGCAAAACCAAGGCATAGAGGAATAGATGATGTGATTGGCGCCCTCGTACGGCGCAACAAGGCTCAGGTAGAGGCTGCCCACGACGATGAGTACGAGCGCTGGAGAACTCAAGAGCCAGAGTGGACAAGCGAACAGTATCTTAGCGATGGCCACCCAGTCAAGTACTGGATTCAATTACGCTCAAAATACCCGTGTTTGAGCCAGTTTGCGATTGATATACTCACGATACCAGCATCTAGTTGCGACTGCGAGAGGCTCTTTAGCGAGCTTGGCGATTTACTTGAGCCGCGCCGGCGAGCTCTTGGCAGCGAGTTACTTGCTGCCCTTCAGCTTGTACGTTCGTGGAGACGAGCTGGCTTTGACGGCTTGTACAACAACGGTGATGATGAAGATAAGTGGAGTGACGTCAAAGATGAGGAGATTGTACAACAGTACGATATAGAAGGCTGGAGTACAACACCATAACCCCCTGTATACTACTTCTTAGCATCAATCAGCCAATCAACCAATCAATCGCAATCAATCTGCTCAAAAACCCTAACAATCAATCCGCAATCAATCAGCAGCGTCGCCGCAAGCTAATCAAACCAATCGACAACCTTAAGATTGATTGATTTGATTGTTGCGGAGTCTGGTAGAAATTCAGCGGCTCCAGCCCTGCATGCGCTAGCATCTCGGCAATGTCCGCAGAAGTCATCTGAGTGTAGTTGTCGATCACCAGTCGATCCACCGGCGGAAGTCCACCACAGTACATGTTGCAGTATATGCAGTCAATCAAAGTGTGTCCGCGCGAGGCAGTAATCAGAGTATATTGTATGTGTTGTTTTTGTGTCTGCTCGCCTTTTTACGAAGGCAGCAGCAGGGTCTGTTTACATGACGTATCTATGATCCAGCTGAGGTAAGAGGTGCTCAATAAAGTGAGGAAGCAGCACCAGACCACCAAAACGTGATCTGCTTCTCCTCATAACCGCCACAGTACATATAAAATATTCCTTCAATGCATGTGGAAGCGTATGAGTTCTCAGAATTATGCTGATTCGGTGCTGGAAAAGACATAGTGGTCGTATGAACGGTTGTTTCCAAGCACATGTCTCGGAAAAAAGATGAAAATGTGTCGATTTCTGCGATATACAATAGATGGAAAATATATACAAGGTCCTCAGGCAGATATATATGTCCCGAGCGTCTTATATAGTCTCAGTTCACGATTGATGTGGGGCATGAAATCAGAGTTTGTCAAGGCTACAGTAAGTCCAAAACTCTCGATGTCCGCATTATTCCGACCGATCAAACTTGCTAATGGAAAATGTTGACGTTTTTTGAGCGTTTCAGATCATACAGCATGCCTCCAATGTGCGGAAAGAGTTTCTCTCATCTAACGTATCACGATACCCAGAGTCCGCAACAATCAAGCGATAGGCAGATTGATTACCGGATTAGGCCTCGAAAGATCACTATCTGGTCCGTGACAGACCTAATCAGGTAATCAATCTGCCTATCGCTTGATTGTTGCGGACTCTGACGATACCCATCCTTGACATACCAAACCTCAGCTTTCAGCTTCTTTACAAGATGCTTTTTGATACACATGTGAATGACGGAACAATGTCGCTACCAATGAAAACCCTCATCTTCAATATGTCCACCTGGAAGCCTGGGATCTCGAGACCAGAGAGATCCATTACAGCAGACCAGTAACTTTTGGGGGGAGATGGAATCCCAAACTGGATGTGGAGCACCTTATCGCCCTCCTCAGTGCTAAGTCTATGCTAGGACTTGCTGAGTATAGGCATCCCAGTGTATATCGACTCATCAATGCCGATGCGGAGGGGTTCTAGTTCTACTTTCCTGTCTTCTGAAAGTGCAGGAGCATTTTCGAAATGATGTTCCATAGCATATATTATGTCGTCAAAATCATCCTTGAGACCCAATTCCGAATGGATCGTGATCAGGGGGTTGCCCACATCTCCATTCACTTCTGCCGTCCATGTGTGATTTCGGTAGAATTGGTTTGTTGCCTCTTTAAAGAACTGATGATTGACTAGGGTCTAATCCAGTGGGTAGCTGATGCCGTACATGCTGTCACTCTCTGAGTTATCGTAGGTCGCGGTAATTGTTACCCGGCGCTCAGGCGATCTGATTCGAGCGGGCCCGAGGTCATCCATAGTTCGTGGTATACCATGTCTCGAAGCTCACGAGGAAGGTCAAGGAAACGAAATGGGGCTTTGGGAGCCGCGGTGGGGGCTTGAGATGCCATTCCGTTAACGAGTTGGCTTAGGCTACCTTAGTAGCTCTGGTTGAGGCGTCAAGTAATGTAAAAAGGGGATATGTCAAGTAGTTAAACTGTTTGAGGTGTTGCAAAAATTGACTGCGTTGTTCTTTTGAATAGCTAATGAAAGTAAGGTGGGTTATATAGAGGCAGCCTGTGCTAGCATGTTGAGTGTCCGTGCACGATTGGCGAAGCGACGTGATAGTGATAGGCGTAAGTAAAACCTGGTGATTGTATAAGATACGCATATTAACTGGTAAAACTAATCAAGATTTCTTACTTCTTGGTCTGTTTAGTGATTTCCACACCTAAGCATATGGCGCTCCGGCTACATCCCCTCTTAATCTTGATCTCTGCCTTTCTACACACTAACACGCACCCTAATCTCTTCACTTCAACTTCAACGAGTAGTCTAAAGCCTCCCATAACACGGAAAAGTCCATAATTCCTGAAATAGGTGGGAAACACGACCTTAACAACCAACTTGTCTAGCCTAAACCCTGTTGTCTTAAAGGACGAGAGGTCAACTCTAGGAGCTTTGGAAATGTACACAGTCGTGATGGCGAAAGTGATATGATAAAATTCCTGCTTGTTCTTATCGAAGAGACCACGTCCGAACTTCTTCAGGAAAGGGAGATCTGTAGGTCATGTTTTGATCATCTTTATGGCAAAACGAGAGAGTGCTCAGCGTCGAGGATATATCCTTGTGTCAGCGGGCCGTCCTGCGGAGGTTATCTCAAGTCCTCCTATGCCTCTGTTCTCTCACTCTTTGCATCTTCCACGCATCCAAAACGAAAGTTCGTAGTCAACAAACCCTCTGGGACGTGGCCGCGAAGGTGAAAGTTTCGGTAGAATTGCTGTATTGCTTCGCTGAGAAACAGGCGATTGACGCGCATCCACATGGGATAACAGAGCTTTGATTCTGGGGATTGTCTTCAACGTTGTAGGAGAAACCGAAGTCAAGCTGAATATTTCCTGGTTTGCGCATTATGTGATACAGGTTTGCGGTCGTGGGCCACACATCGGCGTACACTGCATCGCGCAGCTCACGCGATAAGGAGAAGAAGCGAAATGGCCCTGTAGAGTTCGCCATGATGTGCACGCAACGGCCGGATGTCCCTTAGGAGATAGACGTGAGACACTTGACAGGCGGGCGGGATAGTGCGACGAGGGAGAAGTCTATGCATTCCGCGAGAATTGTTGGATTGTCTGGTTGTTATTTAGGCAAATATTTGCCTTACTTACCAGCATAGACGGAAGCTAGAATGATTGCTAACGCCACCATTTCTGACATCACTGCATTGGTATTGGGGTGCACTTTGAAAGATTCATATTTGCTACCATAATTATTGGCTATAGTATGAACCGTGAAAGATGTGACTTGACGTCATAACGTATAAAAGAGGTATCAAGGTGTATTCTGAAAGAGGTAACGTACATTCCTAGACCGCAGTCGCTAAGAGACCCTCCCACCGAGTAATTTCAAGATAGGAAAGAAGAGAGACGGGATACCACTACCATGTCTCCGTCTGTAAGGAGATACGTAAATAATCAGGCAACCGCCTAGCGTGTGAAAAACTCATCTCCAGGAACATAGTCGCGTGCTGGGCGTTCCGGTCGCGTTCGGCGCTCGGTCGGCTGACTATCAATGATCGATCTTTTGTTGGAGGCATTGCTCACTTCTCTGGCGTGAGATCGGGTGCTATGGTGGTGATATGGATTCTGAGACATGAGGACTGGCATTGAAGACTGTGGTATGAGCCGGTGACGAGAACGTATGACGAGTTTTCGACCCTCATCCTGGACAGCATCAAGGTTTGTACGCTGTGTGTCTAGTTTTTCTTGTCCTGCTTGTTGTGAGGCTTCCATAGCTGTTATTTCAGCATATTTTCGAGGTAAAGCCAAAGCTGAAATGACGCGATCTTCGGCCGGTGACTGAGGCGTGGTGGTCGTGTAGGTCAAATGACGCGGTGGAACAATTGGCGCATGAGTGACTGGCTGCATGCGCTCCGGGCTTGATCGTCGAGTCATGCTGTGTGGATCATGAGAGGGCACTAGAGGTGACATTCCAGTGGGGGTATATCGTATAGAGAAGCGCGACTTTGCTTCGCCTGTTGTTTTTGAACGAGAATGGTGGCGATTGGACTGGGCTTTCCGGCGCCTCTCTTCGGGGCTAACGACACAATTCGATAGACCAATAGGAACTTTATCCAAAAGCGAATTCGTACAAGCCATCTCTCTGTGCTTCTGATCTGAGGTAGGAGACTTCTGAATAGGCTCAAAGGTAGGCATTGCCATTGGTTTCGGGGAGGTCTGGACCGAGGATGAGAGATTTTGCCGCAGTCGATCCAAAGTTTGGACGAGAATCCCACAGTTTTTGCATACAGGAGTGCTTCCGGATCCCGCACTTAATTGTGAAAAGGAGGCAAGGTCGGAAGCAGTGCTCATATAGACATGTTGGACGTTTGGAGTGTTTTCACCACAAACTGGTGATAGGCTCTTCGCCTTTGTTGGCCGGTTTAGTGCCACTGGTACCGAGTCGCGCTTCTGCTTCCACTGCTGAATCTTCTCCTCTGTGGTCATAGCGCGCGAGAATCCTGAGAAAAGCGATGGACCGACTGTAGGCTCGAAGTCGAAGTCGTCTTGCTGTCGGAACTCCGTAGGCAAAGTAGCCGCTCGAGCAAGTGGTGTTAGTAGAGGCCGGAGGGTATTTTTGGATATACCGGGAGCGCATAGACGGGGTGTATTGTTTTCAGAGCGCATCCTTCTAGAATATGTTGGGCTCGGAATCAGTACGTCAGTCGTGCCTGGCTTTCCTTGTCGGATCATGTCGAGCATCGCTTCACCCTTTGGTGCTGTGGTCAGATTCTCATGACCGTTGGCGGTGATTAAGATGTCATCCTCGATGCGGACCCCGCCGACAGGGAGATAGCGCTCTAGTACCTCAAGGTTGATAAATTTGGAGTGAATGGGCGACGGGAGGTAAAAGTGCTGTAGAGCATAGACCGAGAAGTAGATTCCAGGCTCGACAGTGACCACCATGCCTTCCTCGAGGTGACTACTCTGTGGATCCGTAGGCGCGTGACAAGTTTCGGAGTCGTAGACGGGGTCATGGAAGTTTTCCGGGTATAGCGATGGTGCCTGTTGGTATACTGGCTTTCCCCTTCTCACGCTCATCAACTCCGCCTGGCCCACATCATGAACCTCTAGACCGATATGATGCCCGAGACCGTGGGGAAAGAATGCCCTACTTGTGCCAGCTTTGTAGATCTCTTCCCTGGTTCCATTGCAAAGTATGCCCAGACGTAGCAGTCCATCAATAGCGACCTGATGAGCCATGATGTGCAAATCGAGATACCTTACGCCAGGTTCCAGTCGTTCAATACATGTCTCCTGCATGCGCTGCACTAGGTTGTAGATGTTCTCTGCTTCCTTACTCGGCCACGAAGCTGAAAGCGGGAATGTCCGGGTGATGTCACTTGCGTACAACTCGAACTCACACCCAGCGTCCAGGCACATCAATTGTCGGCCTGCAAGATCTTCGTTGTTGGCGTCATAATGCAGGGTCCCGGCGTTTGGTCCGGATGCAGCGATGGGATCGTAAGCCTGTTGTTTTGCCTGCCGCGATATGCACACGTCCATAAACAGACCTTCAACTTGCGCTTCGTTCTTGTACTTCTGGATGTTAGCCAGTACCTCTCGATGCGCCTGGGAGCTGATGTCGTTTGCTTTCCGGATCCGTTTGATCTCGTGATCGTCTTTGATCATGCGGCACAAGTTCATGGCTGGCTGGAGCGAATGGGAATCGATGCGAGGCATGAGGTTGTCACAGCCTGGTATCCGTGATGAGGGATGCAGGATGTAGATGCCGGTATTTTGATGCTTGAAAGCCCAATTCTGGATGATATATGCAAGGTCTTGCGAGTGATGGACTTGATCAATGTCGTACTTGGCAAGCGCCTCTGCTGGAGTTGAACCGCGACCGTTCCAGATGACGCGCTCAGGCTTAATGCGCGGAATGAACAATGTTAATACGTCGCGTCGGATATCATACATGAGATGGCAGTCGGGCTCATCGCAACTTCATATCATCAGTACTCGTGCAATTGATTGATGGGAATACCGTCTCAACGCACCCGCTCATGTAATAGAAGTATCGCCGTTGCCGAAATGGCGCTGGCATGTCGCTGTCTTCGTTGTTCCTCGCCGGTTGGCCTGGAAGATAGATCAACCCATCTTCAACGCCCAACTCTGCCTGCACTCTACGCGCATGTTGTTTGGCTGCACAATGTCAGCATGAATCTACCAAATCCCATCTTGATAACTGACCTGGATATTTATCAAAGGAAGTCTCAGCCTTGAGATGCAGCAAGTAGTCGTTGTCCTCCCATCTTAACCGCTCCGCAAGACCTGTCGCATCGAGAACTTCCATCTTATTACGTCGTCCTACCCCGGAGAAAGGCTGCGAAAGCGAAAGTTGAGGTTTCGAAGAAGGAGACGAAGCCAGTGTTTTAGTGTGGAGGTCCACCTCACCGGTACGCCAGCCCTGGAGAGTGATCCCTGCAACGCCAAGCTCCGGTCAAACGACCACCACATTGACTTGTTCTGAAGAAACCCAGGCTTTTGGCCCCTTGATACCTGTCTAACTAGATGCCTCGCCTGCTGACAACATATTCACCGAAAAGGGGAACGTGATGATGTTATGCGAACCGTCCGACCCCGCGTCCTCTTGACGTATCCTGCCCAACCCCGCTACCCAAACGCCCATTCAGTGCGACGACGTGCACTCGCAGGATTCGCAGCTTCAATGCCTGGCTGCAGCATATTCATTGGGTTCCATGGGTACCACGAGACGAAATTCACCGATTTCGGATCGACCAGGCAAAAAAGAAGAGAAATGCGACAGGGCGGTCAGCCAAGAGCGCTGATTGGCCACTAACGGTCCTTGACCGGTCACCGGTCGCGACATCAACATTACGGGGATACCGTCACACGTACCATGTTCAGATAGATGGTCAGCTCGTGGAGTACCGGAATGTTTTCGTCTGGATAGTTTCAGTGATATCTGCCGTGATTCATCTGGGCCATTAGCACAGTGTTATGGTCTGAACAAGACCGCAACTATGGATAGCTGCGAAGTCAAGAAAGGAAGGTCCCTTGTCCCTGGATATATTTGCGAGGTCATATGGGGGTTTTTTTTCGTTTTATTATGCACCACACGATCGCAATCGTGGGAAAGATCCAGATAGAAATTCACAGGCAGCTTAGCACATGACCCCGCTCGGTCAGGTGTATGAAGTCGCGATGAGTGTGCCTGCGGTCTGCTGTATGCGCTATCAACGGTATCTTTTGGGCAGTGCCATACAATCAGTCGCCCAAAGATCCGATATCTATCTAGCAAGTCCAAAATCGAGCTTGGAACAATGTTTTAGCGGAGAAAGCGAGTCATTTGCGAACACATGTGAAGGCTGCGGACGGCTTGTCACACCGTACTAGGAATGACAGTTCCGTTACAAGCTAGCAAAATGTGGTCTAGACTTGGAACACATGTAAAGGGCTGTCACCGCTTCTTATCAGCTACATTTGCTCGCCAGACGAGCTAGAGAAGATCCGGTGTTAGCCTTGCAACATCATGTGCACTGGCAGTTGTACAAGGCAGCATAATACATAAAAGGGTAGTATTGTACCACAATATCCGACTGTTCTAGATGGCGAGTGAAATTGAGTGATCAGAAGAACTTCGGTTCACTCTTCGTCATCTTCGTCATCTTCGTCATCTTCGTCATCTTCGTCATCTTCGTCATCTTCGTCATCGACATCTTCATCCTCATGCATATCCTCATCCAAGTCTTCATCCGACACCGAAGAAAGTTGAGCAGGCCACTGCACAAACACCTCATCCTGTAGCTTACTCCAGAACTTCTTCATATCTTTACCTGTGTGCTCCTTCAGCTTCTGCACGTCCGTATCATCGTCTCCACCCCTGAAGTTCACAAATAGATGCCCTTGCTGCAGCATACCAACCTTGATGTGAGTAAGTTCCAGCGGTCCAATTTTGGACAGAGCAATGAACAAATCACGCCAGAAGTTTGGCTTGTGATCAGGAGATGCTGTAGCAGCTCGATTGCGGAGGGATTCATCGAGATTCATCCTCCAGAGGCTCACGTCCTTGAGGGTCGGCGCGAACTTGGTAATGATGTCGACGAGGGTTTGAGCATTAGTGCTTAGCAGGCCAAGCTCTAGTACGTTCAAACGCGACAGAGCAACTGCAGGGGGGTCGGTGAAGTCTGCGTCAAGTAAATGAGCTGCAGGCGCTGGCTGGCCCAGCCACCTCAGGAACTTCTCGTTATTGGTGACCTGGTGCTTTAGGAAGTTCAGGCGGAGATGTGTGAGATTCGGTGTGCAGCGTAAAAAACGCCGGAGTAAACGCCCTGGATTTGGATCTGCGTTCATCCCGTTGCTGTGAGTGTGAAGGTTCCGCGTCGTAAAGTCTAAGCTCAGCAACAGCGTTGTCATATGCTGCAGTACGGGCTCGACTGTGGGCCGGATGAAATCCGGTAGTGAGAATGCAATGTCCGGCAGCCCTTCCTGGCGCAATAGAACTTCAAACTCAGGAGGCTGTCGCCTGGCTTTACCCAGGGCATATAGCATCACAGAGAAAGTTCGTGCAAAGGGGTTGCTTCCGCCTTGGTGTGCCTCGGTAAAGTTATGACTAGGGGCTCTCAGTTGAATTCCCGTCTCCTTGTATACAGTCGTCGCGCCCCAAGAGCCCCAGCTTTTGCCATCCCTGACCCGGCTTGCAGAGTCGAAGTTGCGAATGCCGACAGTGGTAAGGTTTTCAAGACGTTCAAATGCACAAGTGAGCATCTCCCGGTCTAAGCCCGTACTTGTGAGTGTCTGCTGATCTTCGTAGCCTTGGATGTAGCGCTCAGCGGCACTCGAATCTCTGAAGCGTAGTGGCATCTCCTCATAGACATTTACGCCGATGATGACATGTGCCAACTTCTTGGAGAAGCTAACATGGTTGGAAATGTCCACAAGAGCCTGAAGACTCGTATACGTAAGCATGAATTGCTTTTTGGTGAAGAATTCTTTTGAGAACCATTCGTAGAGCGACTTCTCGGTCTGCTTGCAAGTGAGGCGAAGCGATCCCAAGTCTTCGGTGGGCAGGTAGGCGGACACTGCAACGAGTAGTTCAAGAGGGATCGAAAGTAACGACGCCATTTTGGAGATGATGGTAAGAAGGAAGAGTGTGGAGATGCCGAAGTAGAAGTGCGGATGCTCTCCGATCTTATCATGTGGAAGCGCGTCGATCTCGCGTAGGCAGAAATGCGCGCTAGGCTACTTCAGGGGCTGATGCCTAAGGGTACGCCCTCCTCGCATAGAACCGTCGTCTCGGGGCGCTCATCTCGGGACGCCTGACGTCGCACTGAGCGAAGTGCTCAAATACCAGTCCTTTCCTCTAATTGCGCTATAGCACATCTCCCGCAATTCAAAAATTCAGACTGCATCAAGATCACATCAATGCCTCGGAAAGCTGTACCAAAAGCTGCACCAGCTGCCCCGCCGCTGAGTGGCTATAATATCGCGACGTCGGGGCGCTTCTCAGGAACCTCGCAAACCGCTGTGCAGTCGCGTCTCACTGCACTCGGCGCCTCAACTGCATTAAGCGTCACGTCTGACACTACCCATCTGATTGCTACAGAGAAGGATTATGAAAGCAATTCAACCAAGGTCAATGCAGCAGCCACTCATGGTGTCCCAGTTGTGACCCTGGGGTGGCTCGACGCTTGCCAGTCTTCAGGTAAATATGATCCAATCCCGAGCATCATCAGAGGACAAATGCTTCCCAAACTGCCAAAGTCCTGAATCAAATCATTTTTTAGGTTCAAAGGTGGATGAGTCGCAGTATTTGCTCTCGTCAGCTGCTCCAGCGGCTGCTCAGCCGTCTCAGCAATCTCAGCAGCAGGCGAAAGGCAAGAAGCGAGCAGCGTCCTCACCTTCACCAACACCTGTTCAGGACAAGAAGCCCAAGATCAAGGAAAATGCCAAGGTTGGTGACGGTCAGAATGCGAAGTCGAAACAGATTGCGATCCAAGTAGACGAATACTGCCCACGGGCTAGCTGGAGGGTATACGTTGCCCACGATGGTACCATCTATGATGCCTCCCTCAATCAGACAAACTCGTCGGCGAACAACAACAAATTCTACAAGATCCAGGTTCGTACTATACTTCAAGAGGCTCCAAACACTACTAACTCTTCCAGCTGCTAACCGATGGCAATATGTACACCACTTGGACGCGTTGGGGCCGCGTCGGTGAGCGAGGTCAAAACGCTGAGTTAGGCGATGGTACCCTGGATGATGCTATCAATAACTTTGAGAAGAAGTTCAAGGATAAGAGCGGTTTGAAGTGGGCAGATCGCGGTGAGCAACCCAAAGCTAAAAAGTACGCCTATGTTGAGCGCTCCTACAATCCTGACTCGGAAGATGACGCCGATGATGACGATGGTGATGCAGCAGCTGGCGCAGAAGAAGAGGGAAAAAGTGCTTTGAAGCCAGCCAAGTGTACCCTGGACCAGCCTACCCAAGACCTCATGAAGCTCATATTCAATCAGGTAAGCCTAGTCCAAGCACATCTTTGAATATCTTTGAAGCTAACATGAAGCAGACCTACTTCGATGCGACCATGACGGCGCTCAACTATGATGCCAACAAGCTCCCACTCGGAAAGCTCAGCAAAGGCACCATTGCACGGGGTTTCCAGGCCCTCAAAGACCTGTCAGAATTGATTGATCAGCCAGGTGCATCTGAAGCTGAAATCCAACACTTGTCCAACGTCTATCTTTCTGTCATTCCACACAACTTTGGTCGCAATCGCCCGCCAGTCATCCAGACCAATGATGCCCTCAAGAAGGAGATTGAGCTTCTCGAGAGTCTATCGGACATGAAAGAGACCGCTGCAATGCTTAAGAGTCAGCTAAAGGATGATAGTGGAGTCCACCAGCTTGACAAGCAGTTCCAGGGACTTGGCATGAACGAGATGACACCCCTTGATCACAAGAGCCGCGAGTTTGTCGAGATAGACGACTACCTTAACAAATCAAAGGGAGATACTCACTCGGTCAACTATGCTGTCCAGGACATCCTCCGTATCGAGCGCAAAGGCGAGTTTGAGCGGTTCGACAAGAGCAAGTTCTCCAAGATTGCCAGCAACCGCCGCTTGCTGTGGCATGGTTCCCGAGTCACCAACTTTGGCGGTATTCTGGGCCAAGGTCTACGCATCGCGCCTCCTGAAGCTCCCGTGTCTGGGTACATGTTCGGTAAGGGTATTTATCTCGCCGACATGTCTTCCAAGTCGGCCAACTACTGCGCTTCGTACAACTCTGGAAACACAGCTCTACTTCTTCTTTGCGAAGCAGAACTGGGCAATCCCATGCACCAGCTCACAGATGCATCATACAGTGCCGGAGAGGATGCCCATAAGAATGGCATGTACAGCACGTGGGGTATGGGCATGACAGGCCCCAGGAAGTGGAAGGATGCAGGGTGCTTGAATCCCACCCTCGCTGGTTGTATGATGGTGAGTATTCTCTTCTTTCTTTCTGCCTCAATGCCGTTTTGGAGCATGAGTTCCAAGCTAACACTCCAATAGCCCGATGTTTCGATGCCACCAGGTCCCACCATGATTCCTAACGCGTATCTCATGTACAACGAGTACATCGCGTATGATGTGGCGCAAGTCAAGCTCCGATACCTGCTCCGCGTCCAAATGTAGACAGCCCAACCATGTAGCTCCTCGTTAGAGGTATGATACGCTAGTACGCGTCGCAGTGTTTGTAATGGCTTCCATTCTCGGGCGTCCAAGGTCTTTCCTAGCGGCGTCTCTGGGAACGGTCTAAAATGGATTACGTGGCGTCTTAGTCTAGCAATGATATGTATCTTCATCATGTTTACTCTTTTCCCGATCTCTCCTTTGTTCAATACGGTTGTGGCTACTTCGTGCAGGCAGTGAGTTGGACATGCAGTAAAGTAACAGAGGTATATTCGTCGTTGATCAGGTACAGGTTTTGCACATGATTGCTATAAACATAAGGATAAGTCGTCAAACGCCGAGCAAGATAAGCACAAACCAGTCTACTCGCGCCCACCGACCCTCCGCTCATAGTCGTCTGTAAGGCGGGAGGCATCCACGACTTCAACGCCCTTGCCAAGACCAACCATGTCGGTGATCTGCCACCACCTGACGATATGCTCGCTCTCCTTGCCCTTGCGCATCGGACTCTCATCGTCGGTATCAACAAGGCCACCGAGACCCGTGCCGTCGCCTCCTACGATGACCACCGTCTGGCCCACCCATTTCCTAATGTCCTCGACATTCTGTCCGTTGACACCGCTCAGAGCATCGACAACATACACGAGATCCGGGCCGAGGTGTCGCACCATGTGCACAAAGCCAGTCTGTGTGCTAAAAGGCATGACCATAGTTGGGTCTTCGACCAAGCGCACAGCCTGAGAGTGCAGCGAGTTCCAGAGCGAGTTATCTGAGCCGCGGGTGCTGGGCGCGGGGGTGAAGACGACGGGATCCATGGAGCGGAGCTCATCGCCAGGCGTGCTGATAGCTGAGTACGAGTCGCCGAGCGACGACGAGTTTGCACGAGAGTTTACGCGGGAGTTTGCACGAGATTGGGGGCGCGAGCGCATTGTGGGCGAGTAGATGAGGACGAAGAGCTTGGTTTTCGAAAAATCAGTGTTGGGGAGGTGGGAGAGGATGGTCTGTTGGTGTTATTGTTAGTCTTTGGCACATGACGGACAGGATAGAGTATTGGTTGACTTACGGCATTCTCTTCACGGTATGAGCCTTCATTGTCATGGTCCATATCTGACAAGCTCTCTGCACTGACAACCAGCACAACTGTCCTCCTCTTCCCCCAGTCCTTGTCTCCCCTGCCCTCGGCCTTTCGCACAGTCTCGGCAAAGCTCCTCGTGTGCGTATCGACTGCCACACCGCTGTCTCTGCTCTGCGCCTCCACGTTCCTCCTCAGCGTAGCCTCTTCGCTCCATCGCGAATGGTCGCCAAAAGCCTCGTCCCTGTCTTCCTCGCGGATCGAGGCCAAGGCGGCCCCAGCAGCTGCACCTGCCGCCGCCCAGCCCGCCGCCGTCTTCTTGCTTACAGTGTCGAACAGCTGCTGAGGCGACGGTGTACGCCGGATGACGCCATGTGCGCGGCCAAGTAGGGTACTATCACCCCATCCTTCACCGCCTGCCTCTGCAGCCGAGAAGCCCGAGACATCGCGGCCTACGGCGGACCTGCCCTGCCTTCTTTCCTGCGCAGAGTCCTCGCCATAAGACAAATCGTCGTCGGAATTATAATCCCGGCTATCCTCACGCGAACTCCATACCCAAGCAGCTAGACCAGCAGTCGCAACGGTAACAGTAAGGATGAGAGGAACATAGAAGCCGAGGGCAGAGCGGTTGTTGCGCGACGAGGACTGGCGGCGGTCGTAACGGTCGTAGTTGAAAGATGACATGCTTGTTTTTTCTTCCTCAAGCCATACTATGTCGAGTCGTGATTCGTTTCGTAAAAGGTCGGGGTATGAATGTTATGAGGGAATTTCGGGGGAGAGTGGGTTTGTTTGGATGATGAGGCCGCAAGCGCCGCCCTTCCCTGCTCTGGTTTCATTTGGTGGCTGGGGGGGGAGAGCTCTGCTGATGGTGGCTGACACGTGCGGGCCTTGCCGAGGTGACAGGCCGCGAGTCATGGCATGCTTTTTTGTCAGGCGGGGTGAGCAGAAGAGTCACCCCCACACTGGTCTCTGGGTAGGGTACCTGCAGGAGCACGAGAGTGCTTAGCTATACGATACGGTACGGTACGGTACGGCACTGTGTGAATTACAGGGTTTTCGTTGTTCCGACGTGGGGTAGTTTCTGCAACTTTGACATCTTGGACTCGACCACATAGCGACTTCCTGCACTCAACGAGCCTAACTCCATATACCACCTTCACAATGCCTCATGCGACGAGTCTCCCAGCACCGGGCTTCCAGGCCTTGATCCTGTGCGGTCCCGGCGCATCATTCAGTACCTTCACCTCGACGCCCAAGGAGATACCAAAGGCGCTGCTACCTATTGCGAACAGGCCTATGGTCTGGTATCCGCTGGAATGGTGTTACCGCATGGGAGTCACAGGCAAGACTTCAAGATGCATACAAATACACTGATACTAACAATCCACAGATATCACAATCGTGACCCCCTCTGAGTCATTAGATGTCATCGAGGCTGCCATGTCGCAAAACCCACATCTCACAACACTTCCCTCGCCCAAGCCCGACATACTGGCGCCAAAAGGCCTCTCACATCAGACCAGTACCGGCGAGCTGTTCCGGCTACCGGAGATACAAAGCGCCATCAAGGGCGACTTCATCGTTCTTCCCTGCGATCTTGTATGCGAACTAGACGGCACAGCACTGGCCGATGCGTGGATGGTTGAACAGGGTGGATTTGCAGGAGCGAGCGGTGGTCTTGATCACAATGGCGGAAAGATCCCATTCAGCGCTGGGGGAGAGAAGCTGGGTAGGAGAGGAGGGTTGGGAGTCTGGTACCAGACCAAGGGCGAGGGCAGCAGGAAGAAGGAAGAGACGGACTTCATTGCGACAACACCGTTACCGACACCGACCGTCCCAGTACCCACAGACTCTTTGCGCCGCAACATCTCCAAGCTAGTGTACTCTGTGCCCACGGACACACTCAACGACATTACAGAAGAGAACAAGACTTTCCCACTACGGCATTCGCTCATTCGAAAGCATGCGCGGATAAAGATGCTCACTACACACCGCGACGCGCACATCTACATCTTTCCGTACTGGGTCCTCGAGATGATTAAGAAGAACGAAAAGTTTGACAGCATCAGCGAGGAGGTCCTAGGTTGGTGGGCAAAAGCAGGTTGGCAGGAGGGACTGGGCGAGAAGCTAGGTCTGCGGCAGATACTCCAAGGAGAAGACGAGGAGTCAGACCACGGCTCGCAAGTCATCGAAGAAGAAATCGACGTTTCCAAATTCAGCACAACCCTTCTCGGGCGGCGACAAGGCAGACGATACAACCGCGCCCACCCCCCTCGCCTCCAGAGTCACAAAGTCGTCCAGCATACCTGAATCCGCAAAATCCCTTACCACAGATTCCAAACTTGTCGTACCCCCTATCCTAGCCTATGTCCAGCCATCCAGCCCCAGCGAGCCCCTCATCCGCCGAGTCGACGACTCCCACCTCCTCCTCACCGTTTCCCTTCGCCTCGCCAAACTCCCCTCCATCGAAGAAGCCGGCCGCGGCGCCGCCTCCCCCTTCGCCCATGCCCACAAAATCGCGCATAAAGACTCCATTCCCCGCAAATGCCGCGTCGAGGCTGAAAACTCGCTCCTAGCCGACAACGTCATCGTCGAAGAAAAGACCAACATTAAAGAATCCGTCATCGGCCCCAACTGCAAGATCAGCGAGGGTGCACGCCTGCTCAGGTGTCTGCTCATGGACGGCGTCGAGATTGGCCCGAACGTTCAACTGACCGATTGTATCCTGGGCAGACGGTGTAAGATGGAGGGCGGTGATGCCAAGGATGGTGATAAGACAGTGCTCAAGGACTGTGAGGTTCAGGATGGGCAGGTCGTGGAGTGGGGCACGGAAGCGAAGAATGAGAAGTTTATGCGTTTTGATGTTGGTGATGATGGGGGGAGTGAAGGGTTTGGTGGAGATGATGTGGATGGGGAAGAAGGTGAGGGGTTGGGACTGTGAGAGCTGTGGCAGGCATTCTACGAGTGATTATGTGTGATCACTTACGTATCTTTTAGGAAATCAGAGTATGTTGTTGTTAGTGTTCTGTATGAGCGTGAGTACAGAGGGACTCTTGGGTGTGCTGTGAGACATTGATATCGACATATCATGGTATCTCTGCTGCATACTTGATACTATGCTCCAAATTCTTTGCGGTATAGTGATAATGAAACTGAATCACCGCAATATATTCCACTACTTTACTGCCTTTGACACAATCCACCAAGCCCTTTCAGCCTACACCAGCGGTTATCCCCACCATAAAGCCACACTGCCATCATTGTACAACCACCCACCCATGCTCCGAGCACTCATGCACCAAAGATACCTCGCTAGAGCCTCCCGATCTCCCCCAAATAACCATTGTATCGTACCCACGGTACTGCCATTTCCGTATACGAGCATGTCCGCTGAAGGGCTTGAGGTGGCCTTGGGAGACATATATGCCATACAGACCATGATAGCGCGTATTGTATAGAGTATAGTATCTGTTGAGTACCTCCAGCGTATATCAAGAGTAGGTGGTGCGGGGTGAGTATGCAACTGGTTGATGTATACCCATTGCGCCGAGGACCTTGGAATAGTGGTGGTAGGCATGCATATCGTGCTAGCATTGTTGCTGTAGGGTATAGAGTATGCTGAGTGCGTCCAGAGTAGACAAGAGTACTTAGCGTGTGGTGGGTTCGCTGCTGCTTGTGGTATACAAGAGGTATTTTGCCAATAGCCTCGAGCCTGTGTTGTGAGGGAACGGTTGGAGATGGAACATGACAACATCAGTGTTACAGAGTAAACAGCGCATTGATGGCCTCTAGCTCGTGCTGTGAGCAATTGATTGGCTCTCCTCTCCAGATACGTGCAAAAAATGTCAAGCTCGACTCGCCTTCACTTCCTTGCTCTTTCCCAATGGAAAGTCGCGGTGACCATGCGGACCCACTTAATCTTAATGCGCTGTTTGCTCGCCAATACAAAAACTTCGTGATCGATTTTGGACCGACTCTTCAGCTACCTCGCCGAATCTTGCCCTGACCACTGGATTTTCTTTGAATTCTATTAATCTTTGCTAATAAGGGTAGACATTTACGCCATGGCCTCAGGTAAACAGCGACGGAAGCGAGCGTTAGAAAAGAGCAAGAAACACCAAGCGTTGGAAGAAGAGCGCAAGAAACAACGAGCTTTGGAAGAGTACAAGAAAAAACAAGCGTTGGAAAAGTGCAACAAACTCCGAGACGGAAGTCGCGACCGGCGCAAACGGATCATCGCCGCGATGATCGGTGAGTCCCGTGTCTTTCAGGGCAGAATCAGGAAGTGTGGAGAGCGAGAGAGTGACGCCAGCTACCTCGAGGACATCCAACGGACCTACAATGACGGCAAAGCCCAGGTATACTGGACGGACGGTAGTGTCCAGGACGGTACCCTAGGCGCCGGAGTAGTCTGGGAAGGAGAGGATGGGAGCGGCTGGCATGAAAGGAAGGTTCGGCTTCGACGAGACACGGGCTCACCAGTGGACGCAGAGCTATACGCCATCAAGACGACGCTCGAGCACGCGGCAGAGGGGAATGTCCGGGTCCGCCATGTTTGGATACTCCCCGACTGTTTTGAAGTGCTGCGAGGACGAATGGCTCTACCGGGCCAACAAGATATGGTATGAGCAAGGAGGAGAGGAATAAGAAGATATGATACCGCCGCCGCCACCAGGAGCTCCTCCATCTTCCCCCTACCCTCCTCCTCCTCCTCCACCCTCTTTTCCTCCCCCTCCCAGTTCATCCTACTTCATCCCTCCCCCTCCTCCAGGATCACCACCTCCACAGCCTCCTCCCCCATCATTATCTCCTCCTCCTTCTTTCTACACCCCGATCCCCGCGCCTCAACATCCGCCTTCTCCCGAGTCCGAAGGCTCTGACGAGATAGACCTCTCTGACGGCTAGCATGTCGTGAGAGATCTCTGAAGAGCTGGAGGCACGAGGGTAGGGCATAGGCCGGAGGCGTTTTGTATGACGTACGAATGTAAGATATTGGGGGATCCCCTACCCTACGGGGTGTAGTTCAAGAGATGGTGTCGAGATGGAGTCGGAGATAAGACTGATCTTCCTCGGCCCGGTTCCTGCATGGCGGGGTCGCACTAACTTAAGATCATCTGGACTGCGATCGCGACAAAGACCGAATACGCCACCATCGGCAGCACATGCATCACCACCTGCAAGCCGAATCCTCAACACCACGAGAATGGCGCATTCGCCTTCATCCGGCGTCATGATGCCGCCACGCTTCTCCATGGAGCTCGATCGCACAGATCCCGATGTGCCGTTCCGAGCCTCGCAGTCACATGTCCACCACACATGGGCCCGCACCTTCCACTCCCGCCCAGAGCTCTATATTCGACCCCAGAGCTTACAGGAGATCCAGAAGGTGGTGAATCTTGCGAGGCGCATGCGAAGACGCCTAGTCACTGTGGGATGTGGCCATTCACCTTCAGATCTGACGTGCACGTCGGCATGGATGATCAACCTCGACGATTACAAGCAGGTGCTTAAGGTGGACAGGGAAAACAAGACAATGACGGTGCAGGCCGGAATACGGATGCATAACCTCAACCTCCAGGCCAAGGATCATGGTTTGACGATGCCAAACCTTGGCTCCATCGACGTCCAGTCGCTGGCCGGCGCAATCTCGACAGCCACGCATGGCAGCTCGTACAACCACGGCCTGCTCTCTGATCGCGTGCAAAGCCTGCGGATAGTACTGGCCAATGGGCAGGCAGTACGATGCTCTCCTCAACAGTCGCCAGATCTCTTTCGCGCCGCCCTGGTATCTTTAGGCGCACTGGGGATCATTGTCGAGATCGAGTTCCAGATGGTGGAGGCTAACAATGTCGAATGGGTTCAGACAATACGGCCGATGGAGGATGTCCTGGCAGAGTGGGAGAACGGGCTCTGGACAACAAGTGAATTTACGCGAGTCTGGTGGCTCCCGTACATGAAACGTGCAGTTGTTTGGCGGGCAGACAAGACCAAGAAGAAGGACCGCAAGGCGCAGTACAGCTGGTACGGCGGTAGCATCGGCTTCCATACCTACCATATTCTTCTCTGGATCTCTCAATATGTACCGCGCTTCCTCCCTTGGGTCGAATGGTTTGTCTTCGGCATGCAATACGGCTTCAAAGATGGCGCTATCGTCTCCGCTGTTGGTGAACAACGCACTGAACTCCTTATGAACTGTCTCTACTCACAGTTCGTTAACGAATGGAGCATTCCTCTCGAGAATGGCCCCGAAGCTCTGACCCGTCTGACAAACTGGCTCCATGGTGACGAGCAATCCTCTGGTATCCCGTTCAGCACCAAGGGTCTCTATGTCCACTCGCCCATTGAAGTCCGCGTCGCAAACACCGTCGGTCGAGAACCTCGTCCTTTCCTTGACACTTCGTTCCCCGATCGGCCCGCTTTGTATTTAAACGCCACACTTTACCGTCCTTATGGCCAGGACCCTCCTTGCCGCGAACGCTACTACCAAGCCTTTGAGCACCTTATGAAGGAATACAAGGGCCGACCCCACTGGGCTAAGAACTTTCAATCTGTCGATCACGCCTACCTCTCCACGGCCTACGGCAGCGATCTGGACGAGTACAACCGCATCCGCAGCGAAGTCGACCCGGAAGGCATGTTCCTCGGCGCCTGGCACCGCCGCACCATTCTACCCCCCAAGTCAGAAATGCCTCTCCTCCCTCTCGAAGAAAAGGAAATTCTGCGCCGTGATCGTCGCTCCGGTGGTCAAGACTGGATCGGCGAGCAGGCGCGCTGGTTCGATGGCGGTGTCGACGTATTCGAGAAGGCTGATAGCGAGTCAGGAGAGAGTTTCGATCTCATGGCTGGAGCAGAGGCGGAGAACAGCGTATTGTTAGAGGGTTTGAGCGATGAGCTGGTAGTCACGGAGGAGAGCTACTAGAGTATGGTTGAAGGTCGGCGGTATGCGACTGAGGAGGGTTTTATAGGGACGAATGTCTTTGACAAGATGTAGATGGTGTTGCGGAGGCGGATAGGGGTGTAAGACGGAGTGCACTGATCAACATAGACCTGGCGTTCTCTATAACCTTCTGGAAGGGGCATAGTCGTTAGTGCGCTGGATTGGGCATGGTGTGTCCTTGATGCGCCCGCTGCGGCTTCCCCCCACTGACGATCTCAATGCACATCAGACCTCCCCTCTTTGCTCTCCTTTCAGCTTCCTTATTTTAGCCATGACGCGCGTCTGCATAATCGATTTGAGGGGGTTTCCAGTACTGCCTCGCCTCAGGACACTGATATTCCTCGCAGATCCCACATCAGCTCAACAGCAGTTGAGTTGATCACGCGTCACAATGGAGAATAGATTCAAAAATGGGGGTTCGAGTTTCGATTAACAGAGAGTATAGAAGAGAAAATCTACTGCTTTTGTCACTGGAATTCAGGAGAAAACTAAACGCAGCACAATATTGCAAAGAAGACTAGATGCACCAGGTCAAATACAAAGCCTTTTCCCACCTTCTAGACACTACAACTTTGTTTCACACCCACTCACAGGAGATGAATTGTTTGGCGTACGCGCAGAATTTTCCATCTTCTTTACAGTACCACAGTACCTATCCTTGGCGTACCAAACTGAAGAACCATCGATTACATGATTTTGACGAAAGCTCTGCCGGACTTTTCCACTCTTACCTCAAACGTCTTGCTCTGTTTCGCAACGCTGAAGGAGAAGATAGGCTTCCTCTCAACTGCAACGACAGGAGACGCAGGGATGCATGGACTTGCTACAATGTGAGATTTGCTCAAGCTGAAGTCTAACCCCGTCGGAAACCCGAACAAGGACAGGGGCACGAACGGCGCCTGCTGAGCTGGCAGGGCTATGCTCTGCTTGGGTAAACGAGTACTAGAGGGTATTTAGTCATCAAAGAAGGCTCCTACGGCTCTAGAGCGAATTTCCTCTCTAGCACGTGCAGGGACAGTAGCTTTATATATGTACATGGGAAAGAGAAAAGCAAGCATGTTTGAAATACAAAGAGAAGATGAAAGGCGGACAGCAGAATCAAAAACGCGAAGCCCGACCGAGACTCATCCTGATACCCAGAAACACCAAGGATGCATATTTCAAAAGACATAGAGTGGGTATCAATATAAGCCGCAATAATGCCTAGAATAACCCGTGAGCGACCGGGTCTAGCACAAAGCTATATTAATAACACTCCTGTCTTGATCAACAGGAACTCTTAGCCACCGGAGTGCCCTCAAACTAACCTCAGGCGAACTTCAACAATGAGATCGGAAATTGCAACCAAGATGGTCATAGGCGTCAGGGAGATGTAGGTAGTTATGGAAAGTCACCGAAAGCCCGGTTGTCACAAAGCTAAGCCACCTACTGTACAATATAGTACCCGCCACACGGTAACAAACTTCTTATCGACTGATCGGCCTTCCTTCTCATTCCGAGATCGCGGCCCACAGGTAATCTATCAAGTAGCTTGGCATTGCCGCCATTTGCTTGGCACAACATAACCTGGTTCGAAAACTTGG